ATCAATCGAATTATGAGGGATTCCAACTACTAGTAGGGATGAACAAATTATAACAAATTTATCAATTAGTTAGATCTACCGATCGCGGGTTTGAGGACCATCGGCATGTTGACATCGGTTGGCTGTGTGCTGGGACATGGATGAATGACACCCGCATCCCAGCACTCAACACATGAGTGCTTTTTCCAACACAGCTCCAGTCACACAACCGTCAGGGCGTTGCTTTTGCAATTGCCGGCTGAGGCAACCTGAACTGCTGAGAATTGTTGAGCAAGGGCATCCACCAATGAATCAAGCAAGAAGTTTGTGATAGGGACCACCATGGCGTCCCCCTTAATTGAATCCAAACACGCTACTACAGCTGACCCTTGCCAAACAAACAATCAATCAAAGCTAATCATCCAATTTCAAAGGGCATGAGGGCATTTCGTGCTACTCTATCTTGCAGCCATCGCTTGGGTTGGTCTGGAAATATGGTTTACATATGTTTATAACATGTTATAATAACATGTTATATCCCATTGGGTTCGGGAGCTGTTTGCACAATTTTCAGACCACCCCACTTGGCTCACTTGGCACTTTGGCGCGACTTGACTGAGCCTGTCATCGGCCTGCTGCCTGTCATCGGCCTGCTGCCTGTCATCGGCCTGCTGCCTGCATTGCTTCCACCAGTGCTAGGAGCCTTCGCCAGGTCCTTCTGCTGGGCCTTCAACAACTCCGCGTCCATCCGGGCCTCCAAGGGGGTGGTGCTTGAAATCATTTGAAATCCTATCCTTCAAAGCAACAGCCGCAGGCCAATGACACATATTACAGGAATTAAATCCACTGTTTACATACAGGAATTGAAAGTAAACATCTCGGCACATGGGCTGTTGACCCAGTTCTGCCTGAGCTTCTGCTTCAGCTTTTTGAATTTCGGCCCGCTCCTCCTCCCAGATCTTGCGCCATTTCTCTTCATTTTCACACCTGGGATGGTGGTTCTCCCAGCAGGTAAAGGTATTCACTTGGGTGGCATATAATATGGCAGTGTGTCAAAACCTTGTACCCCTGGTGAACATCAAAATAGCTGGTAAATGTTAATGGTATTAATAGGTATTGATCCATACCCATATGGCGGCAGCATGCCAAAAAAATCCGAAAAAGGTGTTCAACCGAACTGATTGGCAACCACAAGCACCACCATGAAAAGGATACTTTAAATGGGCTACCGGGCTATGGGCCAAATCCTGGTCGGCCCTGGTAAACATCAAATCAGCTGCTAAATGGATGTTGCGCAAATACTATATTGACTGATTCTCACCCATCCCTCAAGCTAGCGCAGAAAATGACCGCTTCAGCTAATCAAAATCCCAGCGGCTGCATGGTGAGAGCAATGAAACCGACCCCACGTGAGGCCAGCATGATGCCGCGGACGTGCGGGGCACCGACAGGGTCAGCCGCTGAGCCAAGGCAAGCTTCCCCACCCGGTTATCCCTGCAAAGGAAAAACTTGGAAAAAAACAAAACAAAAACACTTGGGCCATCTTGGGCCTCCAAGTTCCATACTTGGCTGGATATCCACGAAGTTTGAATTTCCTGATATTTCCTGATAAAGATGGAGGTCGGAATCGGTGATGCATACATGTCCCCGCACATGTCTCCAGACATACTGTGGAAACATAAATGAAAAATGATGAAGAAAAAAAACGATAAAAAACGTGTTTTTTCAATGCACTCTTTGTTAGCACACAGAATTTATCACCCTCCAGTAATCAAACATAGCAAGGCAGCAAGGGAACATGTTCACATCCTTTGATCCTTTTGCAGCCCCCCAACTTATGGCAGGCTGAGAAAGAGCACGTAAATGATGTGTGCCCCAAAGAATTGCCAGCAAAAGCAAATGTCGATTCAAAATAATGGCAAAGCATGGCAAAGCATGGCAAAGCATGGCAAAGCTAACATATTCTATCTTTCTCTTTGGGGGCTAAGGTACCTTACCAACCCTTACTAATACCCTTGAAAATGGGTGCTTTCAATAGCGAATCGTTCCACTTCCCCGTCACCTTCACCGGGTAGCTTTGCACCACGGCTTCCACATCTTCCGGCCTGGCATCGTTGAACCCTGCTGAACGCAGGGTAGATCTCTCTATCCCATGATATAGTTACCAACTGGTGCAGGATTTCGCAACCATCCACAATAGGTAAACTGTCACCAGCTAGAAACAGCGTATAAATCAGCCAATTTCGGGATGATTCCCTCAAATTGAACCAAATTTGTTCGATGATGCAACTTATTTGCTTGCAGTCTATACATGTATAAAATCATTGTATATTACTGATATACTGTAGCCAAATCTTTGGTTGAGGATGTTGAGTGAGATCTCGCTGGCACTTCGAAGATATGTTGTGCTGTTTCATCGCAGCAGCAGCTCACGCAAACATTTATGAAACCAGGCATTTGGCTGTTCGTGGTGTTCCACATCGTCACATGTCTGCAGTGGCCAAATCGAATTAACTGGGCTTTGCCTGTAACACCCCCCATCAACAGAGCCGTCAACATAGTTTGGAGGAGTCTGGGGAATTAGTGGGATGCATCCCATCATCATGGATACTAATCCTACCTTCCAGGAAATTATTAAGGTCCAAGATTCAAAACAAAAATCTTATATACCCTCAAAGTCAGTCTCCAGCTCTAAGACGGAGGATGCGCAACATTGTGTCAAACTTCCGTTGCACAACGTTGCGGTCGCGTCATCGAAAACCTTGAGGCGCTGATTGGACTGGGGCTCCAGGAGGGTGGAAGACGGCCAGCATCGCAGCGGACTATGGTGAGCGGTACGATACTACATGACTACATGATTGCTTCTCTGCACATTGGTCATTGATGGTCAACAATTGTTGAAAACATGTCTGTCTGCCTGCCTGGATGTATGCATGCATGTATGCATACCCTTGGCCCTTGGGAATTTATGATTGTCCCATTTCTCATGAAAGTAGTGATGGATAGTGCACGTTTTCGTATCGTGCCGCTGACTGACTCCAGCAAAACGGGTTGGCCAGCTCAACAACGGGACGTCAGTTGGACACGGTGCAGATTTTCATCGCCTTCAATCACCTTGTGCCAGAATAACATCATTGACAAAAACCTATGGAGGGAACTTCCAAATCATCAATTTATAGATATTTATAGATAGACATTTATAGACCATCAGTGGATTTTCCATGATAGACATTTATAGACCATCAGTGGATTTTCCATGATAGACATTTATAGACCATCAGTGGATTTTCCATGATAGACATTTATAGACCATCTAATTTTCCATGATAGACATTTATAGACCATCTATGGAAACCTCCAGAATGAAATCGTGAAATGTCAAAGCCGCTGGCACAAGGCTGCCGTGGCCACGCTATGACAATCCCGGGCCCCCCAAAATGTATCCCTACTACAGTTTCCAAGGCTTCAAAAACCCAAAGGCATCGTTTTTACATGTGTTTTATACATTTCTATACTATGCATGGGGAGCGAATGATGCGAACATATAATACTCTTGTTGATGGTATCCGATGGTAGTCGGAACCTGCCGGTGGGTTACTAAGGACGATTTGTCTTTCCCGCGAAACCATAGGAACGAAATAATATATATTACCCACCAACAAAGAGAAACGTATTTTATCACTATTTTATACTATTTTAGTAGGATGTTGCTTGTTTACGTTCTTGGGGGTTCCTATAATGTGCCGAAAAAACTCTGTTAAACTTAAACTGTTAGCAAGAAGTCATGCACAGAATGGCCGCTGTTTTCTTCTGAATCTGCCTGGGCAACCATACAACATTGTAATTGGGGCTCTCCCTTTTGTGATGGTTTGCACCCATGGTCACAAACCACTTATCCCTCTTCCTTTGCTGGCGTTGGGAACAAATACAAATATTTATATATACTCATATGCGTATATAAAAATATATATATACATACATATTATGAGTATATACTCCCATCGTTCCTGTTCATATCACCGCCAGTTATCAACTAAAAATCAAGGTCTTGAAGAAATCACCAGAGATATCACTGACCAGGTCATATGGTCAACCATTTCCCCAACTGGGATGATTATCGCAGTGGGCCATTCAAAATATACCTTTATCCTATCCCATTGTACTGGATAGGGTGGGTTGTAATCATCTCAGTTGAATAATAGGTAGATCTAGGTAGTATAACCCCCTATAAAATCCATACGGGGGTATGAATGGCTCAAGTGGGGGGTCCCCATCTGTCACCAGGCCTTTGCCTGGGGCCGGTCCCCACTGGTTGGCAGTGCAGACGTTGAGGTCTGGTAGAGATCACCAACAAGTGGTTCGCAAAGCCAAGAGTTTTTTGGGCAACATCTGGCTTTACCTTAAATTCTACAAGGTAAGTTACACCACTTTACATCCAGTTAGTGATCATCTAGATGGTCAACAGCCCAGGGGCAGCCCAAGATTCCAGCAGGACCTTATCCACCTGCAAAACTGACTGAAGACTGAATAAACAGATTCAAAATGATTCAACAGTCTGCATACTTACTTGCCAGTACAAGTGGCAACAATCTTCTCCAATCTGCATCTCGACTCTCCTAACAAATCTAACAATACCATTTCATGCCTTTGAACAGTCATCCTAATCCTAAGTTGTTCAGGCTGTGCCGACGCACTACTGCCAACCACGGAGACAAACAGCGCTCAGCTTGTGCTACAGAAACTCCGAACAGCTGCAGCAACAAGCGACCTTGGGCAGCCGGCGGGGTTGAGAGGCTGCTTCCACTGGCATGTTGCTTAACAACATGTTATAACATTCTAAAACTAATTTGTACCCACTTTGGTGAACTGGGGAAGGGTACCCTCTGGTAATTTAACATAACTATGGAAAATCCACCCATTTTTCATGGGAAAATCCACTATTTCGACTGGGCCATTTTCCCCACGCGATAGACGTCCTTAAAGCCGCAGCTTCCCGTTGGGGCACCATGGGGTACCCAACCTCATCCCCGACGAAGCTTCAAAGTCAGAACCTGCCAAAGGCTCCCAAAATAGGAGCTACCCGGCCTGGTTATGACTAACATAGCTATTGAAAATGGCCATTTATAGTGGATTTTCCCATGAAAAATTGTGATTTTCCATAGTTATGTTAGTTTACCAGAGGGTACCCTTTGGTAAATTTGTGCCATAGCCATGGAAAATAACAACTTTTGAACACTTTTGCACCAGGTAAATCATCTGTAAATGACCATTTTCCATAGCTATGGCACAAATTTACCAGAAGGTCGTGCAGTTTCAAACGGGAAAATCCTCTTCCAAACCCATTTTCCCGGCTATGAGTTACATTGCTCGGCAGGCCTGATTCTTTTTGCACTCATCCACCAGCTGCAAAACATCCTGCAGGGCCCGGACTTCTGAGTCGTTGGCGATTGACAATCGCAAGTTCAAGAGAAAAAATGCGAGTCACTCACAAATCAACTATCTCCAGAAAACAATCTATCATAATCTGAACATCTGTTTAAAATAACGATGACAATAGAATATCAATGGAATATAACATTTATATTCACATGGTTTTATATTCCATATAACCATATAAAATTTTAATATATAATGGAAGGATCCATCATCCACATGTTTTTTGTTGGAAACCTCCACATCGCCTTGGCGATGCCGTTCACCTCGATGATGCGGTCGCCCACATGAACTTTGTCCTGGCGATCACCCTGAGAAAAAAAAAGTGGGACAGTTGCAAACGATACAGATGATATATGATACATGTGTGTAGTTACAGACCTAAAATATCCGAAACTATTGTAAAACCCTATGTTCATATGTACTCTATACATCTATATAGGCAACATATTATACATATGGGTGTGTCTGAGAATGTGGTATACCACCAAATGGCTTAATAGGGAAAATATGGGAAAATCATGTTAACAAATGGATGGAAGGGGGTAACCTATTTTCAGACGAACTCATATTCATAGACATCAGTCGTTGGTGATATGCTGTATGCACCTCTGGCCGGTGGAAAATGGGATCAGCCCAGGTCCTGATTCGCACCCTTCTCATTCCAATCCTGCGAGCTCGATGGGCCATTTATGGGGATTTATATGGATTGAACCCCGCTAAGCACCAAGCATAGAGGTTTACAGTATTTTTTCCCCTTCAAACAATGCAGGGAATCACTCGATGCAACTTTCTCTTAAATTTCTCAAAATTTTTGACGCGAGATATTTTGAGCATTGCGAAACCTTTGGAAAGACCCCAATGTTCTGTGGGTGAATCAGCATCATGCCTGTATGTTTTTTTTTCAACTACCAGGCTTATTTGAAAGAGTGCCAACACTTACACCCAACATGCTATGGTAATTCATTCTTATCATAAACAACACCATAAGATGTTCATTTAAAAACAGGAAAAACACATGGTATGGTACCAAAATGTTCCGTTGAGCTCCACTACAGCAAAATGATCATCTATGTTATATCATGTTTCCAATGTGTGGTTCTATCACAATATATCAACAAACGGGTGTTCATCCATGAACCAAACAATAAATATCAGTAAGTATAATAATCATGAAGAAAGTGAAGAATGCCTTGTTCAATGGATTGTTTTAAGGGAAAATCTACAGGAAACCATCGATTTTCCCATTTTTGCTATGGGGGTTTTCCTGTAAATTTTCCCGACTAAACCAATCCATTGACTTGTATAAAATTCCTGGTTTCCATCAATCTGGGTAAATTATAATATTTCACTAACCTGAAATAAGGGTATGTTGGGGATGATTCCCCTTACTAACCATGATTTCCAGTGAGGTCGCAGTGAGGTCGTTATAATTTACCCAGATCAATGTTTGGTTCATCCTTCCTTCAAAAAGATCCGCTGGATCTCAGTGGATCTCCCGGGGGCTCGGCCCGGCAATGCCCGGCACCTGGACCAACCCTGGGTTGATCACTTCGATCAGCAACGTCTCGCCGTCCTGGTCTCGCTTTATAAATGAAACGTGCGTTTATACCATATTATATGTAGCATATAATAAATGGATTTTATATCATAATATATATATCTCTCATATATCACATATCATAATATATACATCATATATATATATGTATAAATATATATATATATGAGTATATATGTGTGTCTGGGTGTGTGTGTGTGTAACAATATGGGTAACCATATATCTTGGCACGTAGAAGTGGTTGACCAATCGATTGGTGGTTTCCTTGTGGTCCACATCGATGCTCAGACGAGCGCCGGTGGACTTGTCCAAGAAGATGGTGTAGTCCCCAGCGGAGCCCTGTGCTAAAAAAGGGCCTTGTTGGTCTACCATGGGATGAAGGGGTAGTTAGTTAACTAACATCCAGTGATTCAATGTTAGTTCATGTTAGTTCATGTTAGTTCATGTTAGTAATCCCAATATTTAGTTTGTTAATGTTGATGTTGCTTCGTATCAATGGATTGGTGCAAAGTCGGGAAAATCTGAACACCGGATGGTCCATCTATTTTCCCATTTTTGCTATGGGGCTTTACTGTAATTTTTCCCGACTAAACCAGTCCATTAAGAATATGTTTAATATGTACCCAAAAAAAACATATGATATGATTGGGATATGTGAAAAGACCAAGTCCTGGATATAATATTGTTGGTTATACGGTTATAAAACAAATAAAATTATATACCCACTTTATAACAATGGGAATGCCTTTACACATATATACACCATCACTTTCAAACGAATAATGGGCATCTCTCCTTCCATCGCCATCATGGGTTTTTTGTAACCCTTATTTTCCTGGGGGATTTCTGACCATGGCAGATGTGGAAGGTTTGGCATGCTTCCGATGGTTCACGGTTAAGGCCGTTAAGGCCGAAGTGAGTCCTCGAAGTGATGGTTCCCTGGATGAAGTGACTGCACAAACATACACAACTAATTACAGAAACGACATATCAAAAAGGGCACGGTGACCTGGAAAGAGCTTTCTTTCAGCCAGTTTCAACGAGGGCCACGAAAGGTCCATTTAGCAAGCCAAGGGGCACCCCAAAGCCAGGATATGCCAGGAGCTGGAGAATCCCCCTAAAAATAGTGGTTTTTTCCATGGCACATCTGTGTTTCGTTAAGATCTCGAAATTGCAGCAATTGATGGGTGATTTTCCCATGAAAAACATCTTCAAAGCACCATTTTTGCATGGCACGGCCTGGGCGGCCACCGGGGCATTCACGTCTGGGCCTGGACCAGGTTTCTTGGGGCGCAAATGCTGTTGGCACTAAGCTCTGCAGAACTGCTGTATAATGTCTGCATATATGTATAATATATATATATATAATATATATATATTATATATATATTATACATACTAGTAAAATTAATAATGATAATAATATATCTGTGTGTGTGGGTCGATCATGACACCATGTTCAGTACTACCCTGTGCTCCGTCGTGCTGAAAATGGGGTACGCGATTCCATCCACTTGCGAAAACATTATTTTCCCTATAAAACCACCTGTTAATTTTATCACTGGTTAATCATGTTCCCCTAAATCCACCAAGTAATCCACTGGTTAAGTGCTACAAGTAGTTAAACACCTTCATAAAGCTACTCACCATTACTGCTGAAAATAGTGTCTTCATGACCTGGTAATCATCATTTTCCGTGTTTTTTAGGCATTTGACATCATTTGACAATGGTAAATCCACTGAAGTTTCCTCTTAAGTATCACTGGTACATCATTTCCCTTGGTACCATCTGGTTATTTAACATAGCCATGGAAAATCACAATTTTCAATAGGTAAACCATCTATAAATGGGCCATTTTCCATGGCTATGTTGAATAACCAGATGGTAAACCCACTGATTGATCATCATCTTCCCCATTAGACTTCACCATCTTCGGGGCACCATTGAAAAAGCCACGAAAAATGGCACTCACCTGGCAAGTCTGCAACACCAGGGGCGGCGTCCTAAAAGGGGGATTCGGCTATGGCGAAATACCAACGCCCATGGTTTGCCTGCTAAAATAAACACATAACAAGGAATGTACAAAGAGGCTATGTATCTGTTTTGGTGGATGCATATAGATATTGTGTGTGTATGCATAAGTATGTATGTTTGTACGTAGATATGTAAGTAAGTACGTAGATAAACGAAAAGACACAGTTATCTATATGTTTTTACATGCCATCCATTTCATTGAAAACAGTTCAAGATGTAATTGGTGAAAATGTGAAAAGCCGGAGCCCTTGGAGCCTCATGTCCAGTTTATACAACGTATACACGCACATGATACATAATCTATAATGTATAACACCGCCAAGGGTTTGACATCGCCAAATCGCCACACGTAGCTTTGACGGGTACCGGCGGTCACATGGGTATGGGCCAATATGTGTGCATATACATATACATAGTTTTAAATAGATAATATATATATAATTAACCATCTATACAGTATATATAACCATATCTGGAACTTAGATCTCATCACATACCCTCTGATAAACTAACATAGCTATTGAAAATGGCCCAGTCGAAATAGTGGATTTTTCCATTAATAGCATGGTGATTTTCCATGGATTTTCCATAAATATAGGTTTTCCAAAACCAGACATCCGTGTTCCCCGTAACACGTTCGCTGCAGTCCTTGCGCGTGACCTCTTTCAGATCATGATCCGTGCTCGCCTTACCACGACAACAGCCCCTGGGAAAATCCATGGGATTTAGCAACCAAGAAAATCATGGATGAAAAGAATGGATAGTAAATGATTTTAGCTATAACTATCCATATATAACTATCCCATACAATAGCTATATGGATCATAGCTATATCATCTGGTGTTTTTTATCAATAGCTATTGTATGGAAAATGGCTCAGTTGGAGATAATTTACGATGATTTACCATAGCTATGTCAAATCACCAGAAGGTAACAAAATATCAAAGTTCAACCAATGGATACATGATGGGATGCTTGTGGGTACTTGGGGAAGTGTATCTTATTGGACACATGCTGGGTACGCATGATGGATGCATGATGAATATAAATTATGTAAATGTATGTAAATGTACTTACAAGATGGGCCTTAATGGCTGCTTCCATTCAAACAGCTCTTCCGATGTGAAGATTCTTCACCCTTCACCATTGAAAGGGCGCACCACAACATCCAGATCTGCGCCGAATATCTACAATTCACATGAAATCACAAAGCAGAAAGATGCGATTCTTAATGGGATAACGCTCTAAGATATGTCCCTATATAAGCATCATTTGTGGTGACTTATGGTGAAATGGGCCATGGTTCAGTCCGCGCCTCAGTCCCTGTGCAGCAGGCAGAGTTTCCCATCACCTGCCAACGCTTGGGATGTGATACTAACCATGACCATTTTACAGTTACATAACAAATAAGGGTATACCGGTATACCCAATAATAAGCCTCTATTGGGGATCAAGATGACTAATAATGATTAATTTATGTGGAAAACCAACCGCCATAAACCATCATGAACCTATCATCACCTGCTAAGCCATGGTTACTGAGGTGATTTATATTCTGGGGAAGGGATTACTAACATCTACCAAGTATTGAATCGCAAGTTTCAGGCACTGGGACCCCGCAGATCAGGATCTGAACTACGACCCAAGCTGTTGGACGTGTTAAGCGCGGACGTGTTGCACCCGGCCTGGGCCTTTCCAAGAAATCTGGGCACAAGTTTCGCGGTGGAAACAGTTCTCCCTTCCGTCCCTTCTCTACGTCTGACTGAGCCAAACAGAAAAATGCTCTTCCAGTCTCTTCCAGCACGCAGAGCCCAGGCATACAGGAAATCCGCAATCCGGAATCTGTACCCAAAGAAATTAGGATAATAGATTGATTTCTGCAGAAAATAGATGTTTACCCTCTGGTAAACTAACATAGCTATTGAAAAGTTGCTTTACCCATTAAACATTGTGATTTTCCATAGTTATGTTAGTTCACCAGAGGGTAGCACTCAAACAAGTTGGATTGTAGCAATTTTCACGCCCATGTCGCAGAAACCGGTCGCCAGCTTGGCGGGAGGTTGGCGATGACACGGCCCAGAAAGATATGGCTGAACTCTGGCAGGTTGTTTCCCAAGCCCACCTGGCAGCGGCAGAGATAACTAACGTGGATGTAATATGTATAATATATATGAATAAAGATATAGATGTAATATTATATATATATTACGATACATGTATCTGTGTGTGTGTGTCAATATATACAAATATCTATCCATCTAGCTGCAGCTATCTGCGTTCATCTTACCCTCTAGTACTCAAAGCTTGGAAAATGTCCCGATCTTCTGATCTTCCGAAGATGGTGAGGTTCCCTTGCCATGCGGAGCCCTCCACCGAGCGCCGCTTTCGATGTTCTTTTACCCCTCGCAGCAATTCTAAGGTGCGGTTCAGCTCAGGGGCCAACGACCTCGAAGGAACCATCTAAGGATGTAGCTCTAGTCTTTTTGATGCTACGAATACCATCCTTGAACCGCAGGTGGTCGTTAAAACCAACCAGTGGCAAGAGGTCTACATGACATATGCCTTCGAACCTACATTATGTTCAGACCAGCCACAAGCAACCGGTGGCAACTGGACATCTATGGAACTGCCATCTGCCCGCTCTGAAGTCATCCATCCAAAATGAATCAATATGCCATCAACAGCTGCTACGTGTATGGGTCCACAGCAATTTCAAAATAAATGGATTCAAATAAACAGTAAATAGTTTTTTTCTCCAGGAAACTTAGTTTTTTTTCTCCAGTATCATCCCCAAATAGACAGTAAATAGATACCAGATACATGTGTACCCCTCCGGAATCAAACATGGTTTGCAGAGGTGCGCAGCCGGGTTGAAGGGCTGGTTGTCCAAATCGCGAAGCAGCAGGCGGTAGCAATGGAGGAACAAACCTCATTACATATTCACAAGGGAATAGAATAGCCACTTCACCCCCAAAATAACAACTAGTGATACAAAATGATCATAGAATCTGTTTGAATTCTGATAAGTCACCAATCTGAAAATAGCTGAAATAAGGCTATTTGGGGATGATTCCCTTCGATAATCATCATTCCAGAATATTCCAGAGACCTGGAAGCCTTACCGCCGAAAGGTGGCTGGACAGTGCAGCTAAGTGGCGGGGGCACCACTTGGCCACATAACCACCCTGCACCGCAACGACTTCCATCCATGAAGGTCAGACGGAAAATCATGAGACGATCTCGCAGTGCAAAACTGAAGCCTTCCCTCATTTAAGCAAAAAGCCAGGAAGTCGTACCGGAAAGCCACTACCGGCAATATCTTCTTCATGTGATTCAAACATTGGTCTGCATCTACATCTTTAAAAATACCAACATTTTGTGATGATAATAATTCTCATATGTTATCATATGTTCTCATATGTTCTCATATGTTCTCATATGTTCTCATCCTCATCATCATCATCATCATCACCACCATCTCACCAGAAACCGAGGTTTTTGCTGATAAAGAAGACAGGGGTCACAGCTAGAGCTGCCAGGGCACATAGAGCGGATCCCCCATTACGGGACGCCCCAGCCCTGCCAAATGGGCACGGATCTGATGCGTGCGGCCTGGCACTGAAACGCAGCAGATCACCCACATGTCTATGACATGTGCGGTATTTGTTAAGAGGATTTTAAAGGATCTTGGATGATTTTGATGATTCAAATTGATAGATGATAGATGTCTCATGCAAGCCTCAAAAACCTGTTCTCCTATAGAACTCGAAATTCTGTTGAGGAGTTGGACGCCTTTCAAACATTTCTGACAGCTGATGATTTCGTGCTTTTTGGGTAAATCCAGGTGAAAGGAGCCTCCGTTGTCTCCACACAAGGGAAAGGTCCCGCATCTGGCCCCGCCCCGCCTGTCAAGGGCTTCACCAAAAGCAACGACAAAGGAAACCTTGCTGTGCCGAGCGAGGGGGGAAGACAGTCAGACACGGCCAACGAGATCATGTTCCAACTGGACCATCCCCAAACGCTGGGGAAAAGCAGCATCCCAATGTGCCTCAAATGCCTAACATTTCTCAAGCAGAGGACAATCACGTGAAAGAACATGTAAGAAACACCATGTTTGAATGAATAAGTAATCATAATTAATCAAAACTTTCAGCAGGTTTCAGCAGTTACCCTCTGGTAATTTCACATAGCTATGGAAAGATCCACCACGCTATTAGTGGGTAAATCCATGTAAATCCACTATTTCTATGGCCATTTTCAATAGCTATTTTGACATAACCAGAGGTAAAAACTCAGAAACACCGAACTTAATTGGAAGCCGCAGCACTCGACCCCGAGCGAAGTGGAGCGAGGGAGATCGCTCAGCATGGCACTTGGAATTGGCAGAAGATCCTGGAGCCACGGCCAAGTCCAAGTGGATCTGGATCCTGGGGTTAGAAAAACCATAGAAAAACCACAGAAAAACCATAGAAAACCATAGAAAAACCATAGAAATTGGTGGAGAATGATATGTTTGAGCATCCTCTAGTTGTTTTTTTATCCTGGAGTGAGAAAATCCAGGAAAATCCTGGGTTGCAGGAAAATGTTGCAGGAGTCTGCAGGAAAAACCCTAGAATTTATATTGAAACAGCACTCCTTTCCCGCAAAGGTTCCACAACAAACATGGTAAATGTATGTAAATGTTCCATCTGATTTTACCACAACTTGTGTGGAAGAACATGGACAGTGTAACACCACTCATCCATTCATCCCAGCGACTCCGATTACGCTGCAATCATCCAAGGGTGGGGGAAGAAGGTTGCGATGACTGACACCCAACCCTTTTTGACAGTTTTAACAGAATGGGACTGGATATTTCATGGATCAGAAAACACACACACATATATATATAAGATGCACCTACCTACCTACCATTCCATTCCATTACACTACACTACATAACACAACACAACATAACACAACACAACATATACAGTGTGTATATATATATATATACACGCGCAAACATACATTACATACATACACATATATATATACATATGCATATGTATATGTGATTATGTGTGCGCGTGCATCTCAATATGCAAACAGAAAGTATAGAATAGGAGTAAGATTGTGTAAGTATTGATATGCATTGCAGTCATTGCGATTTATCCTCAATCAATTGTGGGTTCCTCTCAGTGGGCAGCGACCCATCGAATTGCACCGCCCAGGTTCCTTGACTTCATACTCCGTCCGCGCCTGCACAGCCGCGGAATGGCGGGGTACTCAGCTTGCAGATCTGTACGCATGGGTGATACAAGGAGAGATACAGAATATGAGTATCTGAGTATCAGATCAAATCAAGAACTGATAGTACAAATAGTGACTCACGTTTTGTATTTGAGAGATACACTTGATTTGTGAGAGGCTAATTTTTAATACTGTCTGATCAGATCGATTGATCTATGTTCCTTGATACAGAATTATGAATCAAGTGACCATTGATCAAGAGTGATTGACCCTATTATATCTATTATGTACACTATGGTTAAAGATCTAAGATGGTTTCCTCAGTTGCAGGTTGAAATGCAGAACCAAAAGGAGCAGCTGTGGATCACGATTCACTGATTTCCATTGATTTCCCAATCCTTTTCCCATGCCACGCGTGGCACGCGTGGCACCCTGCCTCCTTGCCCTCTTTGGCCCATCTTACCCGCAGAGTCGAACCTGAAGGATCCGCAGATGCCAACGTTTCGCTCAACAAAGGGCTGCTGATGACTCCTGCAGCCACGGCTTGGCAGTGGTGAGGTTGCTAAGAACATTTGTGACAATATACATCCATATACATCCAACCTAATCCAAGGTAATCCGATGTAGATGTCACCACATGTCAAGCTAACTTGCCAAGAGTATCACCCAACAAGTATGACTCAATCCAGAAACTATTGAGGCCATTGGGCCGTCCTGTGGTACCACGCGGCCCAAACGGCTCACCTGAGCAAAGGCAGACGTACTCCTTGGAGACCTCAGGCTGTCACCAGGCGGCAAGGGCTGGTTCTGGGTCGGTCAGTATGGGAATCACGTGAAATTCTATCTTGATGAAAAATCCTGTAGCGTACTGGACACCCTCGAATGAGCAGTAGACGGAGTAGACATCTTATAGTCGCGCCCCCCCCAAAAAAAAAAACAAACAAAAAAGCTGATGATTGATGCCTTTTAGGACATCGAACTCTTGGTCCAAGGCAACCGCAAAGCATGGAGGCATCCCAACAAAAACACGTGTGCATGCAGCCAAGATGCCATGCGAGCCGCAAACCTGTCGTCAAGATTGTGCTGTGTGCACATGAGTGCATCCCCGCCCTCTTTCCTGTCACCATGATATGTGTCTTAAAATGGAGGTGGGCTACCTCCCATTTCATTTATGGCTATTTTGATAGGGAAACTGATGTCAGAAATTGGTTTGTCCTGCTGAACATCACAACAACTTGTATAATAGCTGAATGTTCATCTCCTAAATTTTGCTGTCTTCAAACAAACCCAGGCCTCAAGCCCCCATTCTTGCCCGGTGAATTCCCACGAAATGCCAGTCAAATTCCATTTCATTGATAACAATATGATAAAAATCCCTATCTTTTCACAGTAAATCACCACAGATCAGCCCAGCCGCTGGAAATTCAACCAACAGCCACTGGGCGACGTCAGTTTCCCCAGCGCCACTGGCAGCACGCCGCTGGTGTCGCCATCCAAACGCGAGGCGCGCGTCAGCGGCAGCCGCAGGCGGTGGGATAGGCTGGCAACGGCCGCCTATGATTCACCAATGATGGGATGATTATAGTGGGGAGAGAGAGAGAGAGAGAGATATCATTCACTATATATCCCAATTATAATGATTATCCCCAATTATCCCAATTCCATGATATAGTGATTATATATTATTTAATTATATCCCAATCTCTCTCTCTCTCTCTCTCTCCATCGCCCTCTCCGGGAGTTCAGCATCTTGCTGAGTGAATGATATATATTCACTAATTTAATGATGGGATATGATGGGATGATTCTATTGATTTAATGATGGAATGGGGTACTATATGAGCATTATCAATGGGATGGTACCAATATGAATGGATTGGTCAATGATAACAATGATCCACCAACAATGGGGATTTAACATGATCTGACCAAGTAGGGGAATGTAATGAGATATAATGGAATACATGATGGATAGAAATGAATTGAGGATCAACTAATGATGTAGGTAATGTATAATTAAATGATATATCTGGGATGTAAGTAATATAAGTAATGATGAACTCGTCAACTAATGATTAACATGTGGGTGTGTCTGAAAATAGTGTACCCCTAAACCCAATGGTTAATGATCATTATCCCTATTAAATGGCTATAATTGGGAATATATTCCATGATATAATGATTATAATGATTATATATTCCATGATATAATGATTATAATGATTATATATTTCATTATATAATGATTATATATATTAGACAAACCCATGTGGTGGAATGGTGTATATATTGAAGGTTCACCGGGATTGCCGCCTCACTACTGACCCCAGCGGGCTTGTAGAAGGCCAGCATGCCAGCAGCCCGACGCACCACGCGCAGGCCAGTGGCATCTGCCTGTCATCGGCAGGCTGGCCACGCAGCTGACCGCAGGGGAAAATTCACAGGGAAGCCCTATGTCACCTATGTTTCATGGGGAAAAGCATGGTTTCTTGTTAGATGTTCCCTTCAACCAATCCAGTGAGATTTGGTGGAAATTCTGACAGAGAAAAACCAGCAGCATTTCTCCTCCTATCTCCAACCTATCTTTGGAATAACACATGTTTGAAAATAGAATGTATGTCATGTTCACTAAATTGGCTACCTTGAAGGGCTTGCTGGGCGAAAATGAACCTCTGACCTCCTCGTTCAAAACATTGCTGACTTCTATACCCTGCACAACAAATTAGAGATGATTTGAGTTTTCTGCTGGTTAATAATGCCATGGATATCCAGCTGGTATAGATGGAATACTAAAGATGGAATATAGCACAAGATGGAATACTAAAGTACCTATCTGACTGGACACAGGACACGACCCACCTTGAAGACCTCCGGCATTAGCTTCACCTTGGAGTTGCGGAAGGCCTTCTCTGCAGATGCAACGGGTGATATTTCTGTGGGGAAATGTCCTGGCTATGTGGTGGTATTATATACATATTATATATATACGTATATAAGTAGGCTTTACTTATATAATAAATAACTATAAATATATACACACTATGTCATACTCTATTGTACATTATCAATTCATTATCATACATTGTTAAAAACTTTCTTATGTTTGATTTTCCATTGACAACATGGCAAAACAAAACATCAGAAATCTCGGCCAAGTACTCCACAAGCGGAACGCCAGTTTGGAGCCAATTCCGCTTCCCAATAATCATCACATTTGCTGAGTGGGGAAATCCTAATTCTTTTCCAAGAAAATCTCAGTTGCCCTAAGTTACCCCTGAAAACATATCACAAAATCCTGCAAATATTCTTCAAAACATCAGTGTGATTTTCAGGATCCTAAAACAGAGGTACTGTACCATCTAAGGCCAGATTTTGTAGGGATATTTCCTTACATAGCTGGGTACCTCCAATAAATCGGTACCTGAAATGGCCCAAAATGGCCCAAAATGGCCATTGAAAATCTGCCCCAAAGCGAAGCCACCTCCTGCCAGTTCCCGCGCCATCTCCGCCGCAAGCGCTCTGCCAGCGCTTCCCGATCTTCGGGTGCCATGGCGCTGGCCACGGTGCCCCAAATGATGCCGTTGGCAGCACATAGGGAGTCCTGTCGCACCATGGATACCATGGCTGCATGGAGGTGATGTGATGCATTTTGGGGTTTATAGCACCCATGTAGAGTGATTATTGGGATGGTTTATTCTTGGGCCACACTACCAATTTTTTGATTGTATAGTAGTTCTGCAGGTTCTTGATATTTCTTGATGCTTTTCTACATGAGCGATTATGAAAACCTTAGGTTCACGGAAAGGACATCCACAAATTTGGGAAGGTCCCATCGCTTACCACACGTTTGTATAATAATGATATATGGTAAACTCGGGGGGTATCGCTTGCAGGAAATTGCTGTATTTATATATATATGTGTGTGTGTGATGAACTATGAATAATATGTGATATTTGGGTATCGCTAATGTGGATATTAGACGAATATGATGACATAACCTTGAAAAGGGGTATCGGTAATTTGGGAAGGTCTCATCGCGGTACCTCGTGTTTTTAACAATTTCCATCAATTTCCATAAATCAATGTCCGTCGAATACATATTTAGTATTACCGAGATTTTTACGGTTGCTCACATGCTTTATCCCTTCTCAACGGCCAGGTATCCTGCTGATACCTCTTGATACTTGATATCTTTTGATATCCGTTCCGGTGCTTGTCATCCATCCCAAACAGCGCAAAAGTGATCAAAAAACCAGTCATGCATGATCATCTTCTCGGGAGGGATGAAATAAATGGAAAAAATGAACTATGAAAAAATTGATCAACATGTCATAAATCAATATCATCATATATCATCCATATCAGCAATTAAACTCTATTCGGTCCTGTATATCACACCTCCACAACTGGCTGTTCCATTCGGCCCACGGCACCTCCATCTGCAACGTCAAAGCCATGGCCTTGGGCCACTGCATGCAGCTGCAGCAGGCGCTGATGGCGCTGTTGAAGCAAATCTCATCCACTTCCACAGCTTCTGTACCTGGGAGCCATGGCTGGTTGAGCCATGACATGCCATGACTGCCCATGCCATGAGGGCGATTTTTCTGTGATGTTGGCAGGGTCAAATGATTTTTGAAAAAACCGAAGCAAACAGCAATGGTCGTTGATGAGCAACAGTAATCGCACAGGAAAATGTCACCGTGAAACACTCTGTGTTTGGCGGTAGAACCTCCATGTATATAACCATGTGCCCTCTGGTAATTTAACATATATATATATAGCTATTGAAAATGACCATTTGTAGTGGATTTACCCATTAAACATGGGGATTTTCCATGGTTATGTTAGTTTACCAGAGGGTATGCCATTAAGCCAAGTGTCTCATTTCTCTCAGTAGCTGAACTGCATCATCCCAACGATTTTCCAAGGCCGTGATCACCGCACTGTAGCATGCTGTGTCTGGCACAACCAACTGCGCGTCCATTTGCCTTGAAGGGATGTAAGCTCAAAATCGCTCAACCCTGACCTGGAACACGAAAAACCACTACAACTCACGGAATTTTTTGCGGTGGCCAAAACACGCAAAAACAAGCCAAAATTGTCAGTTTCAACCAGTTTCCGGATGAACATCTTATCCTAGACGAACAACTGCTTCGGATGAAACTTCCCCCAGCTCACCTCAAAGTCGCGAAGGCCAGCTGCCACTGCTTCGCAGAAGCACAGGTGGTCAAAACGCTTCCTGGCGGCCGATGGCCCGATGGTCTCTGGAGTTGCCCCCTTCAGCTAGGGATGTTGCGGACCCCTCGGCCCTTGAGCTCCTTTGAAAATGATGTTCCTTTGAGAAATGGTGGGCTGTGACTGTATTTCCTATTATTTCCCATTATTTCCTTATGCCCTCTAGGAATCTAAGCCGCAAATATCAAACTCACTGTTCATCATTGTTCATCGCCATTTATAGATCATGTTCCCTCCAAAATGAAAGTTTGCTAGTACCTCTTTGATTACCGGAAGGTAGCCCATCGAAATAGTGTGGTATATAATGTATATAATATACCTTATTTGTTTAGATATGTTTTTGGGGCTCCTGGTTCTTTGAATAGTTCAAGAAAAAACCAATTGGAGATGGGGTTTGTCATTAGGCACACCCTTACTTGGGATGATTTATGATAGTCAGCTTCTATGGTTCATACTTGGGGGGCGCTGTTTCTTTTGACATGGCAATTTCAATTTGATATTCTTAGCATATTCAAAATAGCCACCAATTTGCTCACGAAAACAAAATCCCAAGCAATATGTCCCTAAACTTAATTGATATATGTCAATGGTTCTCATGGTTAAAAGCATGTGAAATCCCAATGTTTACCCTCTGGTACACTAGCATAGCTATGGAAAATCACCATGTTTAATGGGTAAATCAACTAATTATAAATTGTATTAAATTGTCATTTTCCATGGCTATGTTAGTTTACCAATGTTTCCTCCAAGTGTCCATAGGTACTGACACTCTTCGGCAGCTTTTTAAGATTCATCTCCTCCAGCAGTGCCAAAACCAGTTGCCACAGACCGGAGAAGGCGCAGGCGTTCATGGCGGTGTTGTAGCCTGAGGTTCCCACACAACGAGGATTTCATAGGAGTTTCATGGGACCTACTGGGGATACAATGAGCATATAATCACACAATAACTAGAATTAACTACGTAGATATAACTAGCAAAAACTGGGATTTAAACCAACAAAGACTGGAATTTAGCACGAGTTGGCACATGAACATTGTGTTTTGTTTGGGATCAAATGGGAATATTGATGGGAAGGAAAAACGATCAACCCAACTACAAGGGCCACCACCGACCGGGGCAGAACTCTCGAGTTTCCTTAGGCCAGGTTTGCTTTGCCAGGCAGCTGATGGAATCAGGGAACAGATCCTCACTTGGCATCTCCCGAAGCAGATCCACAGCCACCTGATGACAGGGAATCGCTGCCAAACCAAAATCCTTCCTTTAATCAATCATAATCACTCACTATTCACTCACTTTTTGATGCCTCGTAAGCAATTCTTTATATTCTTCGGGTAATTAGTGACCCAGGTCCCAGCAAAGTGTTGTCACCGGTGACTGGCAGTAGTGGTATGTGTTTGCGGAGGCTACTAGGTGCCTGCAACCTCATGGCCGCTGCAAAGCAAGATAAGGCAAGTGACAGATGATTGACCCCCTTTGCCACAAGCACTCATGGCCGCATTGTAGGTCACTTCGGTTGGCAGTACCTCAGCAATGGTTGCTCGGGGCATGTCACGACACATCCTCCCTGGGGTCCCTGCCCTGTCCCCAGCTGATTTTGGAGCCCAGGTACCAGGCGATGCTTCATGGTGCTGAGCACTGAAAGCGCGATGTCCCACTTGCCTTTCTTCTCACATGCACTGATGACGCTGGTGAAATGGAAGTGGTTCACGTCCTGACATACATGCAACAATGAGGGGCTTCCAGAGGGACAGTGAGAAACCAGAAACAGATAGAGGATGCGCAACTGATGCAGCTGGAACTATCATCAACATCACCCACAGCTTTTGTGTATGGAGTGTCCCCACTTCTTGGTGATATCTCATGATGCCCCCAGCACCGACCAGCCTTGGTGCTCCATGTGAATATCCCTGGCTTTGTTGGTCAGTCTGTTAACTTTCTAAGCTTGTTGGCTTACCCTCTGGTTAACATAGCTTTGGCAGCTATGGAAAATGGCCCGTCTATTCTGGATTTGCCTAGTAAAAATATGTAAAAAAAAGAAAGTGATTTTCCCCAGCTATGTCAAACTACTAGAGAGTAACTTCGCCAAATGAAACCAGTCGTCTTATTGTCTCATTGGTCAAGATCCTCAATATCCCCAACTGATGGCCTCCCCCAGTTTGTAAATTGATGTGTAAACCCATCATAACCCATCCAACTACAGATATATCATTGACTTGTCTGCCATTATCTGCCAAAACTCCACAGAAATCCTAGTTCGCCTACTTCACCTGGTTCAAAGCCAACTTACCTCTCATAAATCAGCATAAAACCAACCATCAATCCTCATTTCTCTTGACATGTTGCCACCAAGCTTCCACTCCTTCTTCCAGCATCAGCCGGAGGACCTTGGTCGACACGTCCCACAGGGCACGCTTCGCCAGGCCCGTGAGGACTGCGGTGGCCGCCCGGGGATTGCTGCGCCAGAAGTGGAAGCAGGGCCGACAGGCCGTGCCGACCGCGGATTGCGAGGGATGTGGGCCCAAGGCAATCCTGGAAGCGGAACAGGACACAGGGCGCAGTGATGCGCAGTGAGACACTAAGATGACACGAAGATCACTAAGAACTGTTGGATCTGTTGGCTTTATGGTGCATCTCATGAATCCTCATGATACATCGAACTAGTTGATAGTTGATGGGATAAACGGATAAACCAACTTATATATACCTGAGGTGGGGCCCAGCTTGCAGGGAACGGAAGTGGAGATGAAACAATGAAATCTTTTGGAAGTGCGGAGTACGGTTTGTTGAGGGGAAACTGTAGACACTACAGCGTCTTGAATCTTGAAGATCTTTGAGGCTCACCACCGTGTAGCTCTGCCAGAAATCATTTCGACTCAGATACTGTAAGCCGAAATTCTCAAAATTACCTGATTACGGAGCTCGACTATTCGGCTAGACATACCTCGAGATTGATCTACGCCAGCTAAAACAAGCACTGAAGTGAAAAATGACACTGAAACCTGGCCCCATGATTAGCTCTTTTAAATGTTGCTGGGCTGGTTTACCTACGCCAGTATCATCAATATCTCTCTCCATCCTCATATATCTCATTTGTATGCTTGCAATATGGCTATGGGGTCGCAGCACAACGCAAAGGTATGCCCATCCCCGTATAAATCCTACAATTCCAGTGCTTGGTCCAAGCATCAGCGTCTGCAAAATGTCTTGCCCTCGACCCCTTCGACTCGTCGACCTCCAATTGGGCCCTGACCTGCCAGATCCATCGTCGCGAAGCCATGGCACGCCACCACCAGGAACCATGGTCACTGAACCAGCTGCAAGGACGCAAGAGGGTGATGTGGCAAAATCCATCAAAATCCCATAGATCCAATAGCAAGTTCCACCTGTTGGAGGTTCATGAGACCCTCCCAATGCTGGTAAAATTGGATAGTTTACCATTGGGTTTGCCACCCCCATTGCTGCTCATGAACAAATTAGATCGACATGAGCAAGCGATCGACCATGCCAAATGCCCCCGGACTCTGAAGTTGTTCATTCGAAAAATAGTGTTCTTTCGATCCATGCTACAACATGTCATATACCTCCGCCTATGGATGTGAATGAAGGGTCTCTGCAGCCTGAAATGCCCCCTGATCTCGATCATTTCTAGATATTTCTAGTAGCCAAACATAGCCAAACAATTCAAAACAGTTCCAAACCACCCAGAAATGATTAGTTGTTGTTTGCTCTTTGGGCCCCAAATTGCTGCTATCATCACCGAGTCCCTGACCATGTCCAGCAAGCTATCGAGCTGCTCCACGAAACTTCTGGTCTCCAACCACAGGTCCACCGACAACCTCAACCGCCAACCCTCTGGGGCACAAATGGCACCAGTTGGGAACATCAAAAGGGTGTTTAGATGGCCTCCAAAAAGTGGGCAGAACATGATGGAAACATATTTGACAAATTACCAACATGCACTTTGGTTTAAATTGGCTTAACTGGCTTAACTCTAAAATTAACATAAATTAACAGCACCAACTCAGCAAATCCAGCTGCGACAACTGGTGGCTGCACTTGGCCCCCTGCATTTCGTGCCCGTGCGGAACCTGCCTGGGGGGACCAGGTCGGACTATATAGATCTATATACATATACTACTAATTATATGTATAAATATATATGTACTATAATATAGATCTATATAAAGCTGAGTTTCTGCCCCATCTGCTTAGAAGTTATATCTATCGCAAGGCATGACCAAGCGGACATGGCAGGCCGTTCCGGGAGCCGGGCACTTCCAAGTCCTGGCATTTTTTATGCCCGGGCACTGCGGTATTTTGTGTGCAACTGGTGCCTTGGGAATCCAATGAAGAAACATGGGCAGACTATATATGATTCGATATGATATGAGATACCCGATCGTCTTTGTGGATAGTTGGCCCCAATCCCCATCCACCCCTGTGTATATATATAATACTATACACCTATACACCATGTGAATCGTATTAAAATGTGCTGGGAAATGATTTTGTGCGCTTGGGTTAGCTTCTTTTTCCAAACTCTCCACCGTCACCGATTCGTTATTTGTAGAGCTTCTACCTGGAACAAACATTGGATGGTCAGATGCCTTGCCCAGATTGTCAGAGAGTACAATAACCACCAAAAAGGAAGAAACACATATAGTTGAATTGAATTGAATCACAAATATAGCAGGATGTCATTTTGATATTCTCCTTTTTGGGGTTGCTACAGTCCCATTTTTTGCGACATGTCCTGCTCCCATCTCCAGCGTCCTCGTGGAAGTCACACGTCAGACGGGCAGAGTAGCGGCCATCGCTGGCCACAGCACGGCTGTATTTCATCTCCTCAGGGATGGCGAAGTGGCTGGGAAATCCAAGTCCAGTGGGACAATCTTGGGGGCACATCCCATGTACATACAGTACAATTTAAAATAATATGATATTATATTATATCAAATATATTATATATAGACATATATCTCTATCTATGTGCATGTGTATATTAAATTATATATAGACATAGCCCAAAAAAAAACGATCATTTTCCATGAAACAAAGATGGAACACGGTGTATTCCGTCACCATGGTCACCAAGGGCCCAAACGCGGCGTGCGCTGGCTGGCTGCCCTTCGATCCATCCTGGAAGAACAGTGGGGAGCTTCATGATTTACATGAGCTTTCGACTTTGATGATCTCTATTGTGTATATATTAATAACTAATACATATATCTATATATGATATATGTATGTGTGTGTGTCTATCTAAATATATATATAATATATATAATATATAATATATAATATATAATATATAATATATAATTATAATTATATATATATACACAAAGTTTGGGATTTAGAATGATCTACAATTAGGACCTCTGCAATGAAAACATGGATTTAGCCAGCACGAAACCAGGATCTTGCTGATCTTGCAAGTACGAAAAAATACACAGCTTCACTCAGAACAAATATCGGCATAAAAATTGACCACGATCACTTGGGATAAAGCCAGTGAAGAATTGATTTGATGTCACTTACTGGTGCTTAGTAGGGAATGGATGGGTTGCTGGGGGAATGGGATGATTATTACTAGTGATGAAATGGATCATTCCCTCATTCCCTACGTTTAGCACCAGTAAGATAGTAAGTTCAGTTTTTTCCCCGAGTTCTTCCCTCCAACCCCCCCCCTCAGTTTGGGGATCCAGGCGAATCGCCGCGCGGCCGGCGTGCAGCATCACGCGGAAACCGCTGGTCTCAAACCTCGCGGTCCATTGGAGGCTGCAAACAAACAGCCGGAGGGTCGACCGCAGAGGATTTGCTTAACAGCCGGAGGCTGCATTTTTTGCAACAAAAATATACAAAAATGAGAGAAAAACTCAGGGATTTGAGACGTATAAAAAGCGAGATACAGTAGTTGTGGATTTTTAGGACTTCAGCACCCAAAAAATTGTCTCAAAGATTGACCTGAAATTTCCCCAGGGATGAGAGGAAAACATGAAATTAATCACCCAATCACCAACCAAAGACATCCAAAGACTGATTCAGTCAGTCGAGTCAGTCGATGGAGATAGTTTCTCAACATGCCACGAAAGTATAGTCAGCAACATTTTTCTCCCACCCCACAGGCTTCCAATATCTCGAGGCTCCCTGACAGACCAGGCGTGTATCCGAAGCTCTCAAACCTGAGTGAAAATCACGGCAAAGTCTGTGTGGCCCTTGGATGGGCATGGGGCAATTTCGACAGAAATGATGCAAACTTGGCTGAAATATGCTGAAATGGTTTGCCAAATTTTCCAAGCGTGGGTGTGAGATCACGTTTTCCAACAAATCGAAGCACGGGTGACATGATATATATATATGTTGTTGATCCAATGGGTCCAAAGGTCTGTACATGAGCTGTTCGGTCGAAGGCACTTTCAGGGCCAAGCGATGAAAAGGTGCGCAATCGGCATTGCGCTTGCGTTGGGTGGCTACCAACATTGGTAGCGGAGCCGGTACAAAGCCGGCTCCGAGGTCACTCTAGGACGAGTGATTTTCCGCCATGTCGGAACTGGGTGCCTCAATGAGGTACTTCAATGGCGGCGACGATGTGGACCATAGGGAATATCGCCGCTGGAAACAATGGACGATCAATAAGATGAACGTCATGGACAAACTGCCGGCAGCCGCCAGAGGCAGCTTTGTGTGGACGCTCTTGCAGGGGCGTGCCTTAGAGATAGTTGAGCACCTCAAGGAGGAAGAATACCAGAAGGAAGGTGGTGACGCAGTCATCTTTGGGCTACTTGACCAAAGGTGGCCACAGAAGGATCGAAGCGATGAGATGGGTGAGCACATCTCAGAGATCTTCAGTCTGAAGGCTCGTGATGGTGAGTCCGTCAGACAATGGTGTGGTCGGGCTCGTGAGGCATTCGACAGGTGCAAAAGGAAGACCGCTGTGGACTTTCCTGATGAGGCCCGTGGATGGATACTTCTGCAATGCAGTGGCATGAATGAGGAACAGCGGGCTGTTGTACTGGCTCGGAACAGCGGGCTGTTGTACTGGCTCGAACCCAGGGGTCTCTCAAGTTCGACTCCATGGCTCAGTCGATGAGGTCATGCTACCCAGACTTCACAGTGTCTCGCCGCAAGTCGGCAGCTGCTCACCTGGTTGAAGCCAGGTCCATGGCCGAGACCATCGCCGATCCCTCAGAAGAACAGAGTGCCACAGAGGAAGACTTTCGTGACATTGAACTGTTTTTGGCCGAGCACCCCGAGGGTCATGAGACGATTGATGAAGAATGTTTTGATGAGAAGGATGTTGCAGATATCCTTGCCGTGTCATGGAAGGAGAAACGACAAGAGCTGGCCAAGCTGAAACAGTCACGACAGTTCACCAAGGAGGTGGATTCCAAGCGATCTTTTCGCATTGAGATTGAAGAATTGAAGAAGAAAACAAGATGCCGCAAGTGCGGCAAGATTGGCCATTGGGCCAGGGAATGCCGCTCTCGTGGGACTCAAGCTTCAGCCGCTTCTGCCAGTAGTAGTGGGACCCATGGTGCCAGTTGCGTACAAGAAGTGAAAGGTGAATTTTTCATTTGCACTGCCGAGTGGTGCAAGCCGCTGACCATGCTGGAAAAACTACGCCTTAAGATGACCTCTGTTGCACAGGTGACTGACCATCCTGTGATGCTGGTATCATCGCCTGGGTATGCAGTGCTGGATTCTGGATGTGGGAAGACAATAGTGGGTGCCAACACCTTGCAGTCTTTTCGAGAAATCTGGACCAAGGCTGGTGTTTCTCAGCCCACTGCCCGGGTCAAGGAGAACGTGTTCCGCTATGGACATGGTGCCTGTGAAAAATCCAATGAGGTGATCGAGATGCCAATTCGTCTCGCTGACAAACGTGGGATCGTCCAAGCCGCAGTGATTCAGGGTGATGCTCCGTTGCTTTTGTCGCGCCCGGCAATGAAGAAGCTTGGTGCTGAGATGAATTTCCACACTGATGAGCTCAAACTGTTCCAAGGCAGCACCACCGTGCCGATGAGTTTGAACTCAGCTGGACAATACATCATCTCCGTGTCTGACTTTGAGCCCAAGGAGAATCCAGTCTGTAGCTCCGAGCTGGTGCATAGTGATCCTGCGCCGACTCCTGCCTACGACATGATGCCTGTTGATGACGCAGCCGTGCCCCCTCCGCCACCGGAGGTGAGTATAATCGGTAGGAAGGGTAAATCTAAGGATTACTGGGTAGTTAACTATGCCAAGGGGGAAGTAACCCGTAAGCATGTTAGGCCACGTTCTGAACGATTCACCCCTTGCAATACCAATTGCCCAGTCAACCCTGCCGAGTTATCGGCCAGCCGCCTCACATGTTGGAAACCAGTAGATGCAGATGTCTCTCATCAGCAGTTGCAAGATGAATGGACCAATCCAACCACGGCTCATGCTGCAATTTCCGAAGTGCCTCACCAATATTGGGTGGGTGAAACAGTGTTCAGCTTTTGCTCCTCCAGCTTGCCCGTGCCAGGTACAAGCGATTCTGATGAGGTGCTGATGACCCAATGGACTGCCAAGCAATCCCGGCAACTTGCACAGCAAATCAAGAAACTAGATGAGTTGCCCAAGTCATCAGAACGGTACAATGTTATTGAAGTATTTTCTCCACCTCGCCTGGCACACCAAACAGCCGTACGAGGACAAACCTGTTTGTCAGCTGATTTGCTTACTGGTTGGGATTTCCGGAAAGTGGAACATCGACGGGCCATGAGAGAGCTTGTCAAGAATACTCCACCTGATCTTTTGTTGTGTTGTCCCCCATGCACTTGGTCTGGTGGTTGGTTTCATCTGAACAAGCTTTTCATGGATCCCATGGAAGTCCGAGAGAAACAATTGCTCTCCACCTTGTTTATCAATTTTTGTTGTGAATTGATTGAACTGCAGTTAGAGGCGGGTGGTAGAGCTGTGTTGGAACATCCCAAGCCGTCCATGATTTGGAAATTGCCTAGAGTGCAGCGCCTGGCTGCACGCATGCATGTGGTAGACTGTGACATGTGTAGGTTTGGACTCCGTATTCCTCATGGTGACCTAATCAAGAAGGCAACGAAGTTGTTGGTGTCACATGTTGACATGAAAAAGCAACTAGGACTGAAGTGCCATGACCTGCCGTCACATCGTCACCATGTCCATCAAACCGTTGCTGGACATCATGCCCAGGTCGGCAGTGTGAGCCGATATGCCGGCCAATATCCGCCACGTTTTGTCAAGGCGGTGTTGGATAGTGTGCCCTGCTTGCGAAGTCAAGCAGTGTTGTCCGTAGCATGCCACCGACCGGTGGAGTGTCTCATGGCAGCCAGGGTTCGGGAACTGAACGATGAAGATGTTGCCAAGGTGAAGGATAGTCTACATAAGTTGCACGTCAACCTGGGCCATCCAGGAAACCAGCATCTTGTTCGAATCCTGAAGCATGGAGGCGCTTCTGCAAAGGCTCAAGAGCTAGCCAAAGAGCTCGAATGCGCCCAGTGTCAGTCCCGCGTACGGCCAAGTCCTGCCCTGCCAGCACAGCCGGAACGTGTCACAGTGTTCAATCAACGCATTGGCATAGACATCAAGTATCTCACCGGTTGGTCCATTAATCAGAAAGTTGCTGCCCTCAATATAGTTGATTATGCCAGTAGCTATCAGGTTATGATACCCATGTTTGCCCGCGTCACTTCCGAAAGTATCCGTCAAGCTGTGCAGGAACGTTGGATTAGTTGGGCGGGACAACCTAGTGAGATTGTATGTGACCCTGCCCGAGTCAACATGTCCGATGTGCTGACTGAGCCACAGGAGTTGTCAGGTTCCACCGTGCATGTGACTGCAGCCGATGCACACTATCAACTTGGGAAGGTTGAAGTTCATGGTGGTTGGTTCAATCAGATCCTTGAGAAGGTCATGCATGAATACTCACCCACAAGCAAAGAATCTTGGTTGGAATGCGTTTATGCGTCGCACTGCAAAAATGAGTTGATTCAGGTTTATGGAATGACCCCTGCACAGTTCATTTTTGGAAGAAACCCCAGGATTCCTGAACATTTGCTGGATGAGCCTGTTGAAGTGATTCCTGCAACGGCATCCTTGTATGAGGAAGAAGTAGCTCGTCGTGTTGCAGTCCGTCATGCAGCTAGAAAGGCCGTCTTGGAGTTGCAGGATAACAAGGCTTTGAGATTGGCACTTGCCGCACGACCACGCCATCAAAAGGAGCCCGAACCGGGCCAGTTGATTGCCTATTGGAGAACCCAAAAATGGGAAAGGGGTCAATTGGATAATCATGGGCGTTGGCATGGGCCTGCCGTAGTGCTTGGTAAGGTTGGTAGAAACTTTGTGGTCGTGCATAAGCGTCAAGTAATTCGTTGTGCTCCTGAACAGATTCGACCAGCCACTGGTGAAGAGCGAGAGTTGGTTCGTGCTCCTCATGCCGAGTTGTTGGGGTTGAAACACGCCTTTGAATCGGGTCAGATTGTCAGCCGACAATATATTGACTTAGTTTCCCAGGATTATCCCACCGAAGCGTTTGAGTCCGTAGCACAACCATCCATCTCTGCACCTGCTGAGCCCCATGGAGCCTTGTCCTTGGCTGACCGCCGAGACGCTGAGCCTGCTGCTCCTATGTTGGACAGAAGTCCTATAGCCGAGAATGCTGAGCCACCACCAACCGTTGGTGGAAATTCGAGTACTGAGCCTGCGCCCTCAGCTTCCTCAGCGCCATCTGCTGAGACTGGAACAAATGAAGATGCATCCGCCTATGGTCCCATAAGACGTAGGGTCAACGGTAAGAATGGTCCCAGTGCATACTATCGACCTGCCACTATGCGCTCCGAAGATTTTGCCGAGATGATGCAAGAGATTGTTCCAGAGCTGACGCAACAGGTGCTTGAACCCATCACGCAGGTAGAAGATACAGCCATGACATCTCCTAGATCTCATAGTGTGAAGCGAGCAGCCAGCCCAACTCCAGCCGATGATCAGGTTCATGCCCAGGTACCCCGACTTGAGTCTTCTGGTTCAAATGGTGATAGCACGCGACCCACAAATGTTGGTTCTGTTACACATGTCAAGTCAAGGTCTTTTGAGCTTTCTGAACATGATCGACGTGAGTTGGTTCATATGTATGAAGCTGGTGTTCCGTATGATGTCATGCTTGTCTCCTACCACCAAAAGCGTGGTTCTAAGGAGATTCCCCATGTTAATCAAGAGCCCGAGCAGCAACGAAAGATCGATGAGGCCAAATTGGCAGAATGGCATGTGATCGAAGGTAAGTGTGGAGGTCGACTAGTCCATGGTGCTGAAGCTGAATACGTTCGAAGCAAACTGTCCCATAGGATCATGGATAGTAGATATGTAGTCACCCTCAAACAAGAAGAAGATGCACCAGTGAAAATCAAGGCTCGTTGGTGCCTGCTTGGACAGAGATCCAGACTTGTCTGTCAAGGCTCTTACGGGTGCATTGCAAAGTCCCACCTTATCTCAGATCAGTCGCAGTGTGCTGTTTCAAACCATAGCTTCACGAAAGTGGACTTTGGCTCTTGGTGATGTCAAGGGCGCCTTCCTGTCTGCCGGACCCTTGCCTGAAAGGTATCGTCCTTTGTTTGCACGACTGCCCCCTGGGGGCATCCCTGGTGTGCCATCCGACACCTTGATCGAAGTGACAGGCATGGCAGCAGAAGCTGCACCGTGAGTTGCTGTCTGTTGGTTTCAATGCCAGCCGCTTCGATCCATGTCTCTACACGTTGCGAGATGAAGCTGGTGTCCTGTGCGGAATCTATGGAGTGCATGTTGATGACTGCGCCACAGGTGGCCAAGGACCCAAGTATGAACAAGCTATGCAACAGTTGAAGCAACGTTTTGAGTTCAGGAAATGGCGTATCCATGATGGGGATTTTTGCGGAAGCCGATATACCCAGGATCCACAGTCTTTTGAGATTTCTATGAGCCAGTCAAAATTTGCAAGTGGGATTCGTCCATTGCATTTGAGCCGTAGCAGATGCCAGGATAAAACTGCCTTGTTGACCGACCAAGAGGTAAGCTGTCTTAGAGCCATCAACGGTAGCCTCAACTGGTTAAGTTCTCAATCAAGACCAGATCTGTCGGCCCAAGTTTCGTTTTCACAACAATCGTTTCCTCATCCATGTGTAGGTGATGCAATGTCGGCCAACAATGCCATCCGCCGTGCGCGTCAGCATGCCGACTTGTGTATAGTTTTCAAATCCATTCCACTGGAAGAGATAGCTGTAGTGTGCCACTCCGATGCTGCATATGCTAACACCAAGGGCGGTGCCACCCAGCGTGGGTTTATCATTGGTTTTTCCCAAAAGAGTTTGGAACTAGGAGAGACTTGTGATTGGACCCCCGCATACTGGAAGAGCCACCGTTTGCCCAGGGTAGTTAACTCAACACTGAGCGCTGAGGCGCAATCAATGTCGACTGCCTCTAGCATGTGCGAGTGGATGTCACTAGTTTTGGCTGATGTCCAATACGGACCTTGCTGTGCTCACTCTCTGTGGGAAACCTCACGACGGCCCCCATGCATGTTGGTAACTGACTGTAAGTCACTGTTTGGTCATTTGAAGTCTCCTTCTGCACCATCATTAGATGACCGCAGGACCTCAATCGATATCATCATCATTCGTGAAAGCATCCGCCGTATGAGTGCCTCAATCCGATGGTTACCAACTGACAGAATGCTGGCTGACAGTATGACCAAAGAGTCAGCCGACGCACTGGACCTTTTGCGTGCGTGTGTCAAGGTGGGAAAATATCAGATCAGTCCCGAGCAAGATGTGTTGGAATGGAGAGCAAACGAACGCCAGAGACGAAAGGAAATCGCCGAGAAACGTGCCCAGTTTTGTGCCATGTTAGTAAGCTTAGTAAAATCATAGATAGGGTAGTAGTAGTTATTGGGGTAAATATAATAACTGAAGTGGGTATCCTTGCAGCAGTGCCTGAGAAGGACTGTTCCTGTGCAGCCACGCTCAAGATCAGCAACGCTGTAATAGCCTGCCGCTGTCTCTCTTAGTCATGTCATCGCCGCCTCGCCCAGTCTTGAAATGGACTGATGAGGACCAGCAGCTGTGCCTTAGCCTGATGTACAAAGCCCGCGACTGTGGCATGCTTGCAACGCTGATGAAGCGAGTGATGGAACCTGACTGTGGTTGGGATGTCATTCCCATGAAAGATGCCGGCGGTGCCATGAATGACGCTTCCAAGCGCCAGCGTGAGGAAGAGACTTTGACGTCTTACTCCAAGATGGGCTATGGTCTTCCAATGCCGCTACCATCGGCTGCTACAGCCATGACGGAAGTGCCCAAGTTGCCCGCTGGTGTGTCATCCATGGATGATTGGGGACGCAACCTGATTACCTTCGGAAAGTTCAAGGGGAAACGATCCTATGCCTCCTTGCGCACCTCTGTTGGCAAAGAAGATGTAGAGTACAAGAAGTGGTTGCAGGCTCACTACACCAATGGTTCACCACAGCTTCGTGACTTGGTGGAATATCTCATTGCGATGAAGGATCGCACAATGGTCGCAGCTGGGGATTCTCAGGGTGTTATGATCCCTGGCACCGATGTTCCGCGTCGCTATGCACCATAGAGAAAGATAGCGCAACTACAGAATATAAGGAGTGTTGTTGATCCAATGGGTCCAAAGGTCTGTACATGAGCTGTTCGGTCGAAGGCACTTTCAGGGCCAAGCGATGAAAAGGTGCGCAATCGGCATTGCGCTTGCGTTGGGTGGCTACCAAATTATATATATATAATTATATATAATATGGAGTGAAACAAGGAGCACTTAGCCCTGCACTCCACACATCTCACGTGAACTCGAAGTGCTTTTCCTGACAAAATGGCTCCACAATTGCACACGATGCTGGCTGAACTGTTCTACGAAACTCATGGATCTCAGAACACACAAAGAAGCAGCAAAAGGTGCTAGCCCTCTGCACCACAGGATGCAGTGCCTGTCACTTTGGGCCCCGATGCTGCTGATGCCTCGGCCAACGGGTTAACAGAAAGTCAGAAGGCCAAAGGCTAAGGGTCGGGACACGTGGGACAGTTTCAACCCAACTCACTGGTTGTCCCATGGATTTCTGTGGAAAATGTGGGGTCGCTCAGACACAAACACACGTCGGACATCATGGGGTTTCATCAAACTTTATCAAACTCATTTTGGCCCTGCGCATTGCATTGAAAAAGCTCAATGCGAGTTGCCATTGGCCATCCTTTTCACAAGCACTAATCGCTGCAGCGTAAGTAAAGAAGTTGGGAACAACCTGGGCATTGGGCATCTGATCAAACAAACCCAATGCATGCTGCCACTGCCCAGCCTTCTCGCACGCACTTATAGCAGCGCTGTAGCAAATCACATCTGCACGAATCGTTGCACCTTGCATGTCTTCAAACAAGATCAACGCTTGTCGCCATTGACCACCTTTTTCGCAAGCACTGATTGCTGCTGAATAGCTGATGACATTTCTACCCACCGTGGATCTGGGCATTGCCTCAAGCAAACTCAGCGCTTGTTGCCATTGACCCGCTTTTTCGCAAGCACTGATTACGGAAGCATAGCTAAATACGTTCGGACTGACTTCCGCACCGAACATCACCTCAAACACATTCAATGCCTGTTGCCACTGGCCACCCTTTTCATAAGCACTGATCACCGCACTGTGGCTCACGACATCAGGCTTCACCTTTGCCTCACACATGTTATCAAACAGCTTCAGCGCTACCTTCCATTCACCAGCCTTTGCACAGGCGCTGATGGTGGCATTGTAACTGACTAGATTCCGATCAACCTTCAGCCTTGGCATGGCCTCAAATAAGGTCAGTGCCTGCTGCCACTGGCCACCCTTCTCACAAGCACTGATGGTTGCACTGCAGGCAAACACATCCACTGGAATTTTGGCGCTGGCCATGGAAGAGAAAAGCCAACAAGCATGTTGCCACAGCTTCTGCCTCCCACAAACAGAAATTCCCACCGTGTAGTCCCGCTCATCTGGCTGAAAACTCCAATTCAACACTGGGTCTAAAATTCCAAGGATCAACTCGGGCCGTTTCTTCTCTGCCAACATCTTCAAAATCTTTTGAAAGTTGGCTCTCGTTGGCGTCAAGCCTGTCACTTTCAGAGATTCAGCCAAGGCCCGTGGCTGATACGCCATCAATCCGCTGTTGGATCGGGATAGACCGCTTCAGCACTTGAGTCTGAACCACACCCGGTCTACAGTGGTGTTTGGTGCAACTACCCTTTATTTCCACGGCATCAGCTCCAAACCCTTTTCAATATCTTGTAAGATCTGTGGCAAGCGCTTCAGCTGTGTTTTTCAGAGATATTTTCAAAAGCTGACACTGAACCCCTCACCCTTTCTGGTGCTTCCCGTTTCTGCTGGTGACCTAACCTCGAAATGGATGACCTTGAGGATCATCAGTGTCTAGAGCTAGACATACCTAGATCGTATTCCTACCCAAGATTTTCTCAATCCTAGTTTATCTATCCTATTATTACTATTATTACTATTATTATTATCATTATTATCATTATTATTATTAAACCCCTTACCACAACCGCATAATTCACTCTTGTTTTTCTCCAAGCTCTCATCCATCGGGGTCTGTGTCCTGGCCGCCAAGCCGGTCACCTTCGAATCATAGGTGGGAAGGTCCTTAAATTTAAATAGCAGGTATGGGCTGCCAATGGGTTTATATGGGATTATACGGGCTTATATGGGATAATATATCCTTATATATCGCTAAAAATATTCATTGATATTATGTGTATCCCATCCTCCAGTGAAACAACACACAGACATATAGCAGTATGATATGGAAATGATAATTGATAATTATTGATGATAATTCTAATTGCTGATAATTTATGATAATTGTTGATGGTAATGAGATGGGATGATATCTAATGATAATCAGATTATATTTTGACGACAATGAGATGATAACTAGATGATCATCATCTTCATGATTATACGTACATATATTTACAATCTAATTAGATAAGCAACTAATTATCAGCAGTATGATAATCTAACTATAATCTCCTTATGGTAACTCCATGAGCCCCAGGATCCTCAGGAGCTTCCGCGTCGTAAAGGGATCGGCTGGAGGCTTTCGACCAGCGCTCTCCCGCTTCATCCAGGTCCTAACCCGACTGGATTTATGGCGGATTCATGGCTGTTAAAAAAATATCAATATCTAACGATCTAGCTGCTAGCTAGATAATCTAGATACTTCTGGGCATTCAAAAATCTAAAATATATGTGTTTATGTGTTGTTTTCGGATTTCTTCTGTGATACATCAATGTCTAAAATCATGACATACGCCACCGGGATAGATGGGGACAAGTTACCCTGAGCCAACTTATTCACACAGGACCTAGGGGCATCCCCGTAGGCGAGTTCCTTTCAAAAATGGAATCTCCAACTTGCCCAAGCTGGAATCCAGACCCAGTTGCCCAGCTTTTACCACCACCTGAACTCATAAACTCATACTCAAAACATTGATTGATATTCCTGCTTATGCTGACATGTCAAAATATAAACGTGTTAGAGCCATTTCCTTGGCATCACAACCTCTGGGACCAAGTCTGTATGAACTCCTCTCCGATGGGCTCAAAGACCTTTCCAGAAGCCAGCACCTTGGAGGAAACGCCTGTTGCCTTCCACTTGCTCCAGACCAATCTGGGAAGAATGTGAACTGCACTTCGGGGCACATTGAAAGAGATTTCTGATTCATAAATATTAATATATAGTTGCCGAATACATGCTAAATAGCTGCCAAATTGTTACTAAATAGGTGCTAAATAGCTGCTAAATAGCTTCTAAATAGCTGCTAAATACTTGCTAAATAGAACAAGGAGGTGAATTGATTCATGTGACTTTGGACTGTGTATCATTTTGGAATATTCTAACTGCCGACGCATTATTTTGGACTATTCTAGCTGCTAGCAGGTTGCCATATCACAATATAATACACTGCATGATTCTGATGCATTATGATTATCATATAACCCAGAATGATGGTCTCCTATATATATATATTAACCATATATAACCCATGGTTGCACCATGGGTCTCCTTTTGCGCTGGTCTCTCTACCAGGCACAAGTCAAGGCGCGTGGCCAGTCCGGCAGGTTGTGAGACAAGTCGGTCGCCGAGCCAGCGCTGAGCGCGGCTCACGCACACCATTGTGATCTGATGCGTACACATGGGATGTGTATGTATATATATATATATATGGCAGTGTGTCAAAACCTTGTACCCCTGGCGAACATCAAAATAGCTGGTACATGGATGTTCATCCCCCTAAAAATGGTATTAATAGGTATTGATCCATACCCATATATATATGTGTGTGTGTGCGCATGATTACATCCTGGTCTCCTATCTGTAGAACTGGCCGTGTGATATCATCTCCATTTCGGATGCGTCTGTTGCTTGGCGCTAACTGGCACAGCTCGGCAGTGAAACAGATCGCCGGTGGCGTCTCTGGCTACTCATTGCTCCTTCCCTGCAGGGTATGGTTCCATTGGCAATCCAACTTCCAAGTGAATGTGGAAACGCGTAAAGTGCAATTCCTTCTCCCTATTATGAAACACCCCCAATCGAAACCTCTAGGTTAGTACTAGCCATGTTCATTTTGGGGGTCTAAATTATGCGGAGTCTCTAATTTAATCTGTTTTAATGGGTTTTTTCTTATTGTGTTGGAAGGCTTGAGAAAGGATTAGCCCCTTCCATGAACAGAATAAACTACTACCCAGTTGTTTCAAGCATGCCCTTCAGCCGACCTACTTCGATGGACAATGGTTTTAGTTAACTGATGAATAGCCGGACTATATACCCCTTAGCCTTCTGGATTATCATGGGTTATACCCCCTAGTAATTCAACATAATCAACATAGCTCCGGAAAATCACATTTGTTGCAAGGTAATCGAACTAATTAAATGCTGCTCATTCATGTTCCAAAGCAAACTGGAAGGTTTGACTCCGAAAAGATACCAAATATAACCCAGACATAACCCAGACATAACCCATTCATCATGCAGCTTTGCCCAGTTCCCCAGCGCCTCTCGGCCGCTGAGCTCCTTGAAGAAATGCGCCGCCACCTTCTGCGCTGCCAAGGGGCCATCGGTGGCCTCCTGGATCAAGCCTCGGCGCCATTTTTTGGGGATAGGATGGATCTTTGATGGGAAAAATCAATGGGAAATCAATGGAAATTCATGGAATTCCTGGCATTCTCAAATTTTATGGAGATGCATCCACTGCGCTTGTTTCCTGGTTTTTTCAGGCTGTTCTTGGATAAATGAGTTGAACTACTTTGAAATGAAGCAAGAATGCAAACTTAAATGATCCAACGGATGTTTCGCGATTTTTTGTGATGTGATGCAATTTACAAGAATGCGGCTCAGGGACACTCCATGAGATAGGCAGGTCCGAACTGTGCCAGCGTCTGATTATGCACCTCAGTTCAGCTGGCCAATGGGCTGGCCCACTGCTCTCAACTGGTGAGCATTTCCTGAGGTGCGACACGTAATCCCTGTCCACCTAAGACTAAACAAATGCCCCCCTAGCAATCTGGGTATTTCTATATTCTCTCGATCCATTTTGGGACCTCTTTGGGGCATTTCATGAGGGATGGGATCTATCATTGATATCTGCCAGCTATGCTGTGCCCAGTTTCCCCATCCTGTGCCTTGTCATCGTCACCCTCATAGGCCGTCAAAGACTCTGGCTCGGTGCTGCCTCGGAGTTGCAGCTAAACACCTGTGATCAACTGTGGCACTGGCACAATTTCCCATCTTTGGCGGGAGAATCATCTGCAAATGCCACATGATTAATAGTGGATGTATGAAATACTGTTTTCCGTTTCTCCAGCTGGCTACTGGAGCGTATTGTTTTTCTACTCCTGGAATATATGCTACAGGATGCTACAGGTTTGCACGGAGACTGATTCATCTATGTGCGATTAGCATCGATTTGATGCCCAAGTGACTACCTATTGAGGTTTTTTCATCACTGTACAACATGTCCCAAAATTTTTACGAACATCACCATGGCTGGCATTTGGAAACGCCAGATCATCTACACGGGATACCCCCTGAACCTCCGACCGGTTGCTTTTCAGCCCATGCCGGGCCACAGAAACAAGCATAGGCAGCTGCTCCCACCTTCACGTGCAAAATGCCCGCCAGGGTGGACAGTGACTCGACCACTGCCAACTGGTCTCGCACATTGTTGTTGGTAATCTGCACAGCCGAAGCGGCACGTTTTTTTTGGGATTTTCCAATCGAAAGCCGGTGAAAGGTAGGGAACCATTCTATTATTACCCTCTGGTAAACCAACATAGCTATTTAAAATTGCCATTTATAGTGGATTTACCCATTAAAAATGGTGATGTTCCATAGTTATGTTAGTTTACCAGAGGGTAAGTCCATGATTTTCTATTCATTTCGAGATCCCTTGTTGCGGGTAATTATGAAAAAAATGGGCAGAATGGGATTGCAAAGACTGGCGGTTCCATCCTCCAGGTTCCCCAAAAATCCTCTGTTTGGCTCGTGAAATCCCATCAAAGCCCCATGAAAAATCCATACAAAAAAAATCCCCCGAATAACCCATTGTCATTGCTGAGGTCTCTATGTTTCCATGGTCGAATCTCAATTTTCAGACACACCCAATTTCCCTTCTCAAGTGGTTAAATCCTGTTAAATCCCATAAAAATTGCTAGCGAAATCCCAATTGTGAAGCCACCAAAGCACATCTCCCAGGCCTATCCAGGCCTAGCTGATGGAGCCAACCTATGACAAGGAACCGAGCTGGGCGTAGGGAAGTTGGTCAATAGGAAGGTGCCCATGGGATTCGCTGACGTCATAAAGGCCTCCTTCAACAGTTCCGCCTCAGGCTGGGAATGTTTTCGACGACCTATTTGGCGTCGATCTTAGGGAAGATATGGGGGATGGTATCGGATGGAAAATTGAATACCACACGAACAAAACCGTAGGTTAATCTTCGATCTGCTCATGTGGTTCAATAGAAGGGGAAAAGGAATATGCAATAGACAAAGCACGTTGCATGCATAGAGATGTATACATCTTGAATATCAATATCAGGATGTTCTCAAACATACATATGTACTTGTTCTTTTATGTTCAGCCATTCATTTGCTTGTTATTTGATCTATTCATATTAATTATGTATATATATATATGATATACGTGTGTGCATGTGTCTTGTTCTTTGATCATATATGCGTGTTTAAATCCTACATCATTCTACATAGAAAGAATGACTCCCATCATGCATCATCCTCGCAGGGTCTGCCAGCCAAGATGCCCAAACCTTGATTGGCAAATTGTCCTCAGGGCGGGCATTTCGTCACAGAGTCATGGGATTTTTTTCATCACCAGAAATTTCCAGAAACACCATGGCATTCGGAGTGGACTCAAACGGGGATTTCGCCCACTAGAATGAAGGCGATAGTTTAGGTACACAAATCATCACAAATCTAAACCTTGTGAGGTCTATGTACGGTACAAGCGACCGGCCCCCAAAAGATGTGGCCCTGCATGGCGCGAGACCTCTGTTGCAAGTATACAATTGACTATATGGAGGTTTCCTGAAATAGGGGTACCCATGGGTACCCCTAAATCATCCATATTAGATTGGGATGTTCCATGAAATAAACCATCCAGCTATGGGGATATCCACCATTTTAGGAAACCTCCATATAGGCAAGAAAAATGTCAGCCATGAGACTGGAGTGTTGGCATTGAAGGATGCCTGGAGGTGTTTTTCTGTTGGCAGGAGGGCCCCCAACTGCTGCGAAAAGGGTGGCAATGGCAAAGGAAATTGACTCAATGCTTGCAATATGTCTGAGTTTGAGCCGATTGAATTGATAGGGGCTCCCATGAGGTTGTCTACTTATCATTATTGTTAGCGTTCTTATTATTATTATTATCATTCATGTTATTGTTGTTATTGCTCATGGTAAGAATACTTTTGTATATATATATATACATATGTATAATATATATATATATGTATAATATATATATATTGAAACTATACCTTTATCATTAGCAGTAGCATTATTACTATTATTGCTACTATCATTAGCTATTATTACTACAATTATTACTGATTATTATTATTATTAGTCTTACTATTATCATTATTATTATTTATGTATTACTACTATGTTTGTTATGGTTATCATTCTTATTAGTAGCACTAGTATTACCAATCATCATTTATACTAGTAGTACTAATACCTAACAATATTATAATTATTTTTGTTATTATAGTTATTACACGATATTGTTTCTCAAGATTCCTGATGCCTCCTCGATCAATATCACCTCCTGAGACTTCCTCTTGAGAGTTCACCACTATCGAACCACCTAATGTTTCACCTCGAAACAAATGTCACGAAGCTGTCCTGCAACCCCTACCCCCCAGCACCTTGCCCAAAGCATCCTCCACAGCAGGTTCATGACCGCCACCTGAAGGATCCCAGCAACAACCAACAGCCCCCAAGTTGGTCCCCAAGTCAGCACCATTTTATGGCTGGTATATAATTAATATATATATATATACATATATATATATTATATACATATTATATATATATATATATCTATACAAACCATCCCCAGTCATGGAGGGTTTATGATGGGTTGGCATTGGGACACCCAAGAGCTCACAAACCACGCTTCGCCGCTTCGCCGAAGAGCGTTTGCAGATGGCCAGCGCGTCCACCACGGTGTATTTCACGGGCACCGCGTCCTTCCGAGAGGTTCTCTGGTTGGGTGTTGTTCAACCCTTAAAAATCATTAAATGTGATGAAATGTGATGAAATGTGTGATGAAATGTGTGATGAAATGTGTGATGAAATGAAATGTGTGATGAAATGTGTGATGAAATGTGTGATGAAATGTGTGATGAAATGTGTGATGAAATGTGTGATGAAATGTGTGATGAAATGTGTGATGAAATGTGTGATGAAATGTGTCATGAAATGTGTCATGAAATGTGTCATGAAATGTGTGATGAAATGATGAAATGTGTGATGAAATGTGTGATGAAATGTGTGATGAAATGTGTGATGAAATGTGTGATGAAATGTGTGATGAAATGTGATGAAATGTGTCATGAAATGTGTCATGAAATGTGTGATGAAATGTGTGATGAAATGTGTGATGAAATGTGTGATGAAATGTGTGATGAAATGTGTGATGAAATGTGTGATGAAATGTGTGATGAAATGTGTGATGAAATGTGTGATGAAATGTGTGATGAAATGTGTGATGAAATGTGTCATGAAATGTGTCATGAAATGTGTCATGAAATGTGTCATGAAATGTGTGATGAAATGTGTGATGAAATGTGTGATGAAATGTGTGATGAAATGTGTGATGAAATGTGTGATGAAATGTGTGATGAAATGTGTGATGAAATGTGTGATGAAATGTGTGATGAAATGTGTCATGAAATGTGTGATGAAATGTGTGATGAAATGTGTGATGAAATGTGTGATGAAATGTGTGATGAAATGTGTGATGAAATGTGATGAAATGTGATGAAATGTGATGAAATGTGATGAAATGTGATGAAATGTGATTGGGGATGGTTGGGGCACGAAATGGCACAAATGAAATATATGAAAAAGAATATGACGACACCGAAGGGGATAGTGATCAAAAGCAATTGATGGCAAAAGCCACTCATGCCCTGCATCGAAATACTGGTCAATTGGATGTCAGTTGGGATTGATTTAGTGCCAGATAACCTTGACGAACCGAAAACTCCAACCCACCCCCAAGCCATGCCTGTCCTCCAGGCCTCCCGCAGTGGAAGAGGTGCAAATCGTCTGTGCCACCAAGTTAGCAAAGTTGCAGGCACCATTGGGTGCCAAGATCATGTAGACTGTCCTAGGCAGCTGCTGTGTAAGAACAAACATGGTGACCAGCCCAGTGCTGGAAATCAACACCCTTTGGGCTGTTGATTTAATCCTCGCATGTTGCGGTTAAATTTGCCAAGCCAGGGTTCATTTAGAACAGCCCGGAACCTCCAAAAAATGCTGGTCTCCCCCAGCCATGTTTGTCCACACCAAGCCATGGCCATCCGCCAGGCCCCCTCAACAAATCGCCCCAGCGACGGCCAAAGCTTGGGAGCCACCGTGTCTTTCAGCAACTCGGGAGTTTCCAGCAACTTCTTCTCCACCGAAAGGCAGCTTCCTCCAGCAGTTGGGGCAGGAAAGGTATGCTTGGAGAAGAGCGGAGGAACATTGGTCCAGCTTTCCATGGCAAAATGATTCGAAAAGCCGAGTTAGTTGGAGGGATGCTAGGTCAAGCACACTTGTGGGTGTTAAACATTGGATGGTACAGCATCTTGGAACTCTGTGGGCGCAAAACCCCTTGGAAATCCATTTCTCCCTGGGAGTTCATCATGGCAAGGATGCCACCCTTCGCGCCCAGCCTGGGCAAAGCTGTTTGAAGACCTGTTCCATGTCGATTGATGCGATCCGAGAATCGCGATGGAAACCGGAACTGATCATCTGGAACCCCATCCCACCCCATCCCACCCAGAGTCTAAGTTCATTCACTTTTTCTTGATCTCCTGACCAAAACCAGCCCCGAAGATCCTGGAAGTGGACATCTACGTTGCTTTTTGATGAGCGATATGAGTGCCAAAAATCCATACAGCTGAGCATGGCGGAGTGTCACAACTGGATGAACACAAGAAATGATGCCTAAAAATGGATGTGTCATTGGATTGGTTTAAGGGAAAATCTACAGGAAACCATGGTTTTTACCATCAATATATAGTAAATATAGGGCTTTCCTGTAAATTTTCCCATCATCCAATTCTATGGATGTGGATGAAGTGGATGAAGATGATCCAAAATGAACTGTGGATGAAAAGAACTGTCCATCCCCAAACAGGGGGTTGGAAGACTATGTTCCTGGTCGAGCTGTTAACGGGGGGATGGTAATAGTTGGATTTCCCACTGCAAACACATGTTTTTGTTGCTATGATTTTCTATGATCATCATGGGTGATATACTGATACACATATATATATATATACATATATACATATATATATATATGGAGGTGTCCGAAAATATTGGTAATTACCCTGAAATCATCTAAAGTTAGATCATGTTACAATTGATACAACCGTGGTTTTTTGGGAATCCCCCGGGTTGCCGTACGCCTTGCCGGTGGTCTCCCGTGTTTGCCGTTGCCCCGCCAACATCTCAGCGAACTGCTCGGCGTCGAAGGCATCGTCTTCGTGAAGACCTAGGGATCCCAATGTTTGGAGGATCCCACTTCATAACTGGGTAGTACCCTCTGGTAAATTAACATAGACCCTGGCAGATGGGGGTTGGCAGACTAGTTTCCATTAAAAATTGGTGATTTTCAGGGTCTATGTTAATTTACTGGAGGGTAAGTGGGATAAATCACCCCCAAAAACAGAAATTAAATGGAATAAGCCTGGTTAGGGGACTTACTAAGGGACTTACTAACCAGGGTCATTAATCAAGTCCTAAGTGGGATGATCCTCCAAGTGAGGATATACTGGGGATATATATACCGGTATACCAGCCATAAAATTTGGGTTCAGATAATTTGTGAGACGTTTCTATGGGAAACCACCGTTTTTGATAGGTCCATCAGGGTTTTTATCATCTGCAGAAAGGCAATGTTCCACGGATTCCATGGAGATGTTGGATGGGCAGAGGTAAATCTTGGGAGGATCAACATCCACAGGGGGTGCACAACAGGATGCCAAGTTGTGTTGACCCATAGCCATTGAAACAACAGCGAACACCATGAGTAATTTTGGCGGTTCTTAAAAACAGTGGGGGGCAGAATTGGTAAGATTGAATAATCATGTCATTGAATAACTTAATGGAGGCAAGCACATGCCTAAGTGCTGGTTAACACTCGACAAGTTGGGTGTCCCCCCACAACGGATGGATGGGGTTATCCCAGACCTAGAATGGAGGTGCTGTGCGATATTTTTGCAGCCGATATTGTGTTATATACATAGACCTCAGCCTTTCACATGGAAGGTTCCCTTTAAAAAAGAAACAGAGACATCATGAAAAGTATGTAAATACATTCATGCCAATGATCCCTGTGATATGATGTGAAATGCAATATAGATCAACGCGGTCCAGCCACCCTTCCATTCTTCCTCCAGGAATTCATCGTCACACCTGAGCTGCTGTACGACACTGATCCTCCATCAAGTGTTTTTTTTCCATGACCATTCATCAAGACATATCAAGACTAATGCCAACCCCGGATTAATAAACCATGGCTGATTAGGGTGGTACTCCTCCAATAGTCATATTAATCATCTGATACTTTTTTATGGTCCCCTCCCAATTAAACAGCCCTTTGGGGTAACGGCAAATCATCAAGCCAACCAAGGAATCCAAGGCGCTCAATGTCCAGAACCACCTTCGGTGATCCAAAGGCTTCCTGCAACCGGCTGGGGCTGCCATTGGGGCTGCCATTGTGGGCCGTATCCGCATATCTTTTCCAAAAATCTGGGATTCTGGGATGTACTATAATTCCTGATGTATTAGCATATCTTATCCAACATATATATATATAATTATATATATACATATACTGATATGAGTTGGCGACAAATTATAGAAATCTGACTGTAAACACTGACAGTCGATACAGTATGCCATCTGTTCTATAAAATGCCGAGCCCAAGCCAACCCAAAACATAGAACAATACCCAACGGTGATGTATGCCATGGCATGCCATTGCCATAAACTGCCCATCATTGCCCCATACAGCTCAGCTACGAGGAAGCTGTGGGCTTGCGAGTCAACGCTGGGGAAATTTTGGAGCACCACCAATGGACTGGAGACGCTCTGGATGTACTGCTTCAACCTTGGACGGTTGGCCGCAGAATGTGCACCCCGTAAGCATCAAAGCAGCTGATGATCCACGAAATGCATTGATGTATGCCATGTTGACAACACATCATTCATCAACATCCAACTCTACATTCATCATCGACATTTCCACATATTTCCACCATGGTCAGCATGACGAGTTCCTCATAATCTGCCCAGAAAAATCTCATAAAATCTACCTCCCATCCACCCATCAAAAACAGGTCACATCGTCACCTCCTTAGAGCTGTCCGCCTCGGTGCCCGCGGCGCTCATCAAGGTCTCCATGGTGACCATCGTGGCACCATAAGTGGCGGCCAACTGCTTCGCCTGCTGGGCACTCAGCACAGGTGATAGACCTGGGCCGCAGGGTTCCCTCAACCAAGGGGGACCTGGGGGGCCCTGGGGGACCTGGGGGACCGACTTACTTGATCTTACGGTGGGTTTATTGATTTAAACAACTATAGTAACTATAAACTCATAATTTCATATTCATACGGAACCCATACATAATCTACATATACAGAATCTGTAAATTATCTATAGTATATACATACGCTTTAGCCCCAAGCTAACCAATCTGAGGAGTCAGGGGAGTCTCCTCGCCGAGAAACTGTTCACCATAGCAAACTGCGGCATTTTGGACTTGTCCAACAGGCGCTGAAGCTTCTCCTGTCACCAAGTCAGATCGCCAGAAGCTGGCAGGCAGATGGCAGAAAATGTGGATTTTGATTCTACTGTTGGTGTTAAGCTCAAAAACTCTTAGGTGTTAAGTTGTAATTGCCCAAAGAGTTGGGATTGTGGACCACCAGAAAATTATGGATATATAAATGGAATTTGAATCAACACATGGCAGTATGTCATGTGTTATGAACTATATGAACTGAAACCATGCTTTGAGCCCGTCAAACACCCAACCAAGCTACATCCTCGCTGTTTGGGTGACTATCCTGCTTAGTACCCGGACAAGGCTAAATGGTGTAGTACATCAGCGACTCCGTTGTCCATTTCAAAAAAGGCACGAAGAATGGGTTCCAACCATCGATGTGGAATGTTTTGAATGCCATATTGGCCATATTCACCAACAAAATTAGATCCGTTAATACATCATCATCTAGCGACAAGAACGAGACATAGAGGGATGAGCATTGCAAGGCCAAGTGGGATGAACATGTCAAGGCATCACACTGTTTTGCAACCACGCCAGGTGGTTTTAGCCTGATGAGTTTCATCAGGTAAACTGAAAGGCTAGTTGACAGGCTAACCACCCTGCCAACACAGGGGGCCCCCTGCCAACACGGGGGAAAGCACTCCATCAAAAATTCCTATCCCTTCTTTAGCAATTTTTCTGCTAAAGGAAGGAGCCGCCTCTCAGCCTTTCCCCCGGTCAGCAACGAAGCTACCAGGGTAGGGCTGGGCGGGAGACAAACAGCTAAGAAAGGATAAACGGCGTGGTCAAACCCTACCATGACATGCCCACAGCTCCCCCCTACAACAAGTTTACGGGGTCCACATGCCCCCATGTCAAGGCATCACACTGTTTTGCAACCACGCCAGGTGGTTTTAGCCTGATGAGTTTCATCAGGTAAACTGAAAGGCTAGTTGACAGGCTAACCACCCTGCCAACACAGGGGGCCCCCTGCCAACACGGGGGAAAGCACTCCATCAAAAATTCCTATCCCTTCTTTAGCAGTTTTTCTGCTAAAGGAAGGAGCCGCCTCTCAGCCTTTCACGTCACCGTCCTGGCATAGCCGTCAAGCTCTTCTGCAGCAATAGAGAGGCAGCTACTGCTAATTGCTGCTGTTCTGCTGTCAGCTTTAAGTGCGTCACCATAGCTGTTGCGTCCTGCAAATAAATTCTTGCAGAGGAAGTGGATTGCCACCTGCCCCGCAACAACGTGCGCTCCATAGCTTGGTGTTGCAAGAAATCCCAACTTGCTCCTCCTCTTCGCAACGAATACACTGTTACCAACCCATCAATTTCAAATAGGTCAATCAGCGCGTTGAAGAGGGAGCGAAAGACCCGCGCACCACGGGAAAGCAACAATTCATTCTTTGGTCTGTTTGCACATGCACATCGCAGCGCCTTCACTGCGAGCTGGCTTTCGAGCACAACCATCTCAGCCGTGTTTGTTCGTTTTCCTGTCTTGGTTTGCTCCAAGGTAACGACGGCACGATTACGGTAAAACTTCACATGTTTTATTTTGAGGTTATAGAGCTCTCCACTTCGCAGCATTGCATCGAAGCCTACCAGCATAGCGCTGGCTTCAGCAATGAATCCCAGTGACCACGCGGCTCCCGCCATGGCACGCACCATGAGAGGACTCAAAGGCAGTACCCTTCGTGGTGGTTCCAGCTTTTGCCAAACCTTGGCTAACTTCCATGAATGTTTCAAGCGTCCCATGGCTTGAGGCAAATAGAATTGAATCCCTGCCAGCGCATCACTGGCCAGTGACTTGTGTTCGCCGTCATGGAAGATATGTTCCAGCCACGCTGAAACCACTTCATCCAGGTCTTCCCAATGTTGAACCACGTAGTCAAAGTCCTGGGCAAAGTCAAGGAAAGCTTCAACTCCCTTTAGGTATCTGTCTAGCATACCACTAGACACCATCTGCCCTTTCAAAGTGTACTTGGCTCGCTTTGCTTTCCTTGTAGCTTTCTCCGTTTGGCTTTGTCTTCGGCCCATCGGCTCGGAATATCCGCGGGATTTTCCCGGGTGTCAACGTAAGCTACGGCCACCACCGTGCCACTGGCCACCACCAGCGCAGCATACTTACTAACCCCCAGCTGGAGCCGAAAACTGCTAGTTCTCCCCTTTGCGAGGATTGCAGCGACCACTTGAGAGTCTACTAAATGTAGTACCCTATGGCCTGCCCGACTAGCTTTTCTAAGCCTCCATTTTATACTGTTTATCACAGCTTGCAGTTCCAAACCGTTTATATGGGCCTTTTCTTGCCAGGAGTATCCATGAACAATAGACCAATGGAATAACCGTGACCTAATGCCTGATCGTGGCCATGCTTTAATCCTAAAGGGCACGTTTAGGTCTAGCCGAACATCACATCCACCTTTTTCGCCTTGAAGTAAGAAGAACTTGACCAGGTCTTTGACGTCAGTTGTTTCGTGGGTTTTACTGACAAATCGGGGGTATTTGACCCAGCCATCTGGCGAAGAACCTTGAATGCTGACTAGTTGCTTCGGGTCCCGGACTTCTTGACCTCCATACTTTCGAAGGCACTCATGCAGCAGCATCATCACTGCATAGACATTGAAGGTGTTTCCAATCATCTGGCCCCCCAGCAACTCTTGCTCGCGGCTGCAGGTCTTGTCACCAAAGCTCTTGGAGATGTATCCTTTGTCAAAACCCATGATCAGTTCTTTTTCCCTTAAAGTTGGCAAACGCAAAGTCCCATCGGGGGTGGTGATCATGTGATCATTCTCATAGTTGTAGACCTGGACAAAGTAAGAATCTTGGTGCCATCTGTCAATGGCTTCTGCCGACGCATATTCTAATCCTGCTGGTTTGTAAGGCGGCACATTGCGTCTTTGAGGCCTGGTAAAGGTTGGAAACCATGTTTTCTGACTCGGTGTCCAGCTACATCCCTCTTCCAGCCATTCACTGGGGGACCTCGTCACTGCAGGGAACGTCCATTCCAGCCATGCGTTTTTCAGCTTAATCTCTTCTTCACCCTGTGGAACGATGTCCCAACTCGGCCAGTAAAAACGAGGTCTGCGGCAGTCGCAAAAATGCTTTGCATCCAGTAAGATGGCTGTGACACCTAGAACTCTGGAAAATTCCTTCGTGCTATCTTCTGACATGGACGCGACATTTTCAACGAAGCTTTCCACTGGAACCTTGAAAGTCTGCTTTACCAGGGCCACCACCCGGGGGACTTCGAAGAATAGCTTTGATTTCTCCCCTGCCAAACCTGTCCTTTGCGCATTGAGAGACGACAAGTCTTGACAAGGTGAACCTGCGCCAATCAACACCAGGTCCAACTTGTATCCCACTGAGTCCGCCAGCAGCTGAATGGTCTTGGCCTCTACCTTGGTTATATCACCGAGTTCGATGACTCCGGGCCATCTGGTGCGAGTAAGCCGCTTGCAAGTGCGATCAACTTCACAAGATGCATAACCCACGATTTGGCATTCCAATCTCGAGAGGGCTACCACCATCGCCCCCACCCCATCAAACAGGGAAATAACCAGCACCCTTGGCCCTTTCTTGCGCAACTCAATTCCCGTTGCACCTGCTGGCACAAAGGACACCTGTTCTCGGTCTTGGTCCCTTGTTGTCATCCTTTGTAACACTTCACGTCCTTCTTCAGCCAGGCCCGCACTTCCACAAAGTCCACCTCCCTTTTCCGATGCATCTGACACTGTCACCAGCCCACTCACTGGCGCACGAAGGTTGACCACTGCCATTGGGAGGATGCTCACACTCCATAGCAGCTCCTTGATTGCGCACATCTTCAGGGGACGGCAAACCATTGCTTTAGTCTTTGGCCATGAAGTATTCAACAGGGACATCAGAGGACGACGAAATTCAAAAGCTCGAACTAGCCGTCCCAAAATCATCAACAGGACTTTCTGTCGACAACTCTCTTGCTGCAAAGCCCACAATACAAAGTAACCACATTCCAGCTTCTTTGTCAACGGGGTTCCTAACCATCCATCTTGCCCATCCACCTCAGCCCCCATGCGCTCCACTCGCAGCTCACGAGTATGCGCTTTGTCACTCGAGATTGCAACACCTACGCGCTTATAGGCTTCACGTTGTCTTGCATGGGTTGGCGACATGGTTCCTTTTAACTGTTCCGCCATGCTTTTGGGGACAATTTCAGGGCAGTCAAAATCATCCAAATAAAAAGAAACCCAACCACCTCCTACTTCAGTTGCACTTTTTGGGACGGGTCGATCCCTCCTCATCTCCTTCCGGTGATCTTGGCCAGCACCAAGAGGTGGTTGTTGTAACCCAATCCTGCGGTGGAGGTGTTGGAAAAGCGACACTGAGTTTATCCACCCCATAGGGATGACTTTCGACGCCAGCCACACTTCTGACTCCATTGGACGACCCACGCACCAGCCCGGCACTGGCCACTTGAAAGCCATGTAACTACGCCACTTGCTGGGTAAGGCCCAGGCATAGAAGGCCCCTTTCTGGTCATCACCTGACCACAACAAGGCAGAGCCTGCAGGCAATTGGCATCCCGCCCAGTGGCTGGCAGCCGCTAACGTGTCCAAGTCCGCCTGCATCAGCTTTTGCAAAGCGTTTGAAGGTGTAAGGTTCATGATCAGCCGTGTCACCCGAGCCTCACCTGCTGCTGGCTTGCCTTTCTTGACAACGGCAAACAAACCATTCAGCACCGGCACACCACCAGCGCAGGCTATCTCGCTGAAGGGTATTGGCGTGAGAATATTCCTTTCCACCAATGTTGCCGCTATGGTCGGCCACTCCTCCTTCTTTACGTTCATAGATGCTGTGGGCAACGGCGAAGGCCATTTTTCTTCAGGCAGCAAACACTGCCGAGGATCCTCCAACCACTCCCTGACCTCCTCGTCCGCAACCTCTGCTGCATTCAGGGTACCTGCAACTTCTCGCTCAGGCAGGCCAGGAAGTAGTTCACCTAGGCGCAGGGGGAGTGCGTGGGATACCTCTTCCCCTGAATAATCAATTCCCTTCTGTTTCACCAGCTCTTTGAAATCCACTGGCCCTAGTTCCTTAAGGGGATCATTGGAGAAGTAGTTGCAACACCTTTCAATGTTATCCCTTGCCTCTCTTTGAGCGGGATTATGCGTTTCCCAACTGTAAAACAAGGGCCCCTTCCAGTTGAGGAACTGTCCATTTAAAACAGTGGTGCAATTGAACCGCCACACTTGAGAACATGCTTTCGACAATAGGGTCCTTCTTTGTTGTTTGGGCAGCTTCCGAAAAGGTTCAACTTCAAAAATAAGAAAACCGTTTGGGGATCGTCTCAACAACCTGATCACCTTCAAGGCCGCTCCTACTGACGACAGGGGGAGTGGTAACAGGTCCCTCTGTCGCTGGGTTGGCGTGGTCTTTTTGCGCATGTCTGCTGGTGCCTCTCTCGGCATTGAAAGCAGGAGCTGCATCATTCCGATCCCTAGCTGTAAAACATTCAGAGTGGTGAAATCCCCGCACATCAAACGAATTCTTTCACGGAAAACTTGCATTGAGGAACATGAAAAGGACATCAGCTCCCACAACTGGCTAAAAATCTCAGAGGCCTCAACTGTACATCCAAGGCCTTCACAAAAGAAACTTCCCGAGCCATCACTCGGAAATCTGCAAGGCGGAGCCATCACTCCTCCTACCTGCAGGCTGGTCCCTGCTACTTCTTTCCGCTCTTGCGCAGGTGCTCGAAGATCCGGTTCTTCCACTGCGCCCTTGTCTCTCCCTCTCGTCTGGGGATCTGGGACCGAGCCTGCGCAATCGGCCCCTTCTCGTCTTTCTCTGCTGTCCTGGGCTTCTCTGTCTTTGGAGCCACTCTTGGAATCTCCTTCTCCAAGTCTCCGCCCCTCTCGTCCTCGAAAGACACCCTGGGCGGTGCTGCTGTGCCTGTGCGCTGCCTCTTCAACGGCGACCTCCTGTCCTGTGCTTTGGCCAAAGCATCGGTTTGGTGGCGTTGAGGGGGGGGGCTGGCCAAGCGCCCCCCACCCCCGCCGAGTCCCTAACCCTGTTTTGAGCCCCGGGCTTGACGGAGGAGATCTTCTGACTTGGCCTCTTTGAGCGCCATCTCACGCGCAAAGGCTGATTCGGCAACATTGGCCCCATAGCCGTAGAGCAAGTCCTCCGGCAGCAACTCCAGGTGTGGCCCAAACTTGTCACTGTTGTCACGGGCTTGCATGCACAGTGACTTGAACCGTTGGAGCAACACGTCGCCACAGGAGTCTGGCCTGCCTTTGAGCAGCATATCCATAGCCAGGCTGATGGTGCGCATCTCACGCATCGGCTGCTGCTGGATGTTCTTCGGCCCAATTGCCGGTAGGATGACTGTGAGCAAGTAGCGCGTCACTACCGGGCTCAGTTTGTCATCCTCCCCTTTCAGCTCGCCAAAGGTTGTGCCCAGCTGCTCTTGCATGCTCTCCAACGCTTGCATCATCAGCTTTCCTGGAGACTGCTCTGCAATCTTCTTGTATTTCTTTCGTCTTTCTTCCCAGCCGCCACCACGGCCGTCCTCCTGATCGTCCTCCAGCGCATCACTGGAAGATCCTGTGGATTCTCTTGAATCGCTGCTCCTCTTTCTTTTCTTCTTCTCGATCGCTTTGCTTAGCTCAGCAATAACCTGATTGGATGATCTCTTCTTCCTCTTCTTCTTTCCCGATCCTGTGGCTTCAGAGGCTCTCTTGGCCAAGATTCCCCCCGGCTTACGGCTACTACCAGCCCGTCCACTGGTCTGCCCCCGGAGCTTCTCCCTCAACTTCGAGAGCTTGTCCTCCAAGCCTTGCTGCGCCCTGTCATCAGGCTCACCGGCAAGCATCTCATCCAACGCATTGCGCTTCTCACCCACTTCTAAGCGGTGGGACGTCTCTTTTGCAGGCTTCAGTTCAGTCCTGCGAGGTGGCGATTCCTCCTTTTCTTCTTCTTCTTTTGAAGGGCGATTGCGACGCCGCCTGGGGAGGTCTGGCCGCACTTTTGCTGTAGTGGTGGGATGACCTTCATGATCGTCATCTTCATCTCCTCCCCAGTCAACATCATCACCGGGGTGAGCTGGAGTCTCCAAAGGTGCCATTAGACCAGGATAACCCCATTTCACCAGAAGGTCGTGAGCTTCTTGTCGTTCCAAAGGCGTCCACCTTCGGACATGCAACACTTCCACATCCTTGACCTTGGTTTTGCATTGCTTCACATCAACTTTACAAAAGTGGTGTAGAGCATGGGCTGGGAGACCCCCAGGCTCGCCCTCGTTTTCAATGTACCACTGGTAGTGTTCATTGTTGGTACCCAGATACCGGAGTTTGATCAGAGCCCCAGCTTGATCTGGTAAATACCTTCCCCTGGTAGCCACCACTGCCAGGCCCATCGGCTTGTACTTGTCGTCATAGATCTCGATCAAGTAATGACTCACCTCCGCATAGTACATGGACTGGAACGTCACTGAGGACACAAAAGCGCCGTCCAGCAGTTTTATTCCAGTCCCATCTTCGTCGCTTTTCTTTGGCATCTCTTTCGGGCCCCCAAGCTAACCTGTGCCACCACACAGGGCTTATCGCCTGGGGGCCCCGTCTTACCCACCAGCTACCACTGGCTGTCTCAGCTTGCTTCTTTTTCCAGCCAGCACTGGTACGCACTTGAAGCTGAGAGCTCAACGCTCTTTGAGACAAACAGCTAAGAAAGGATAAACGGCATGGTCAAACCCTACCATGACATGCCCACAGCTCCCCCCTACAACAAGTTTACGGGGTCCACATGCCCCCATCCACTTCGTGCACGTCCAATGACGCAGAAAACATGGGGCAGACTGATTAAGGAAGTAAGAACTGGACATGGGAACCTTGTGGATCCTCTGGATTCACCAAGACAATTACCCCCAACACATGCAAACATTCCGTTTCAACTGGGCGATTCCTGCAGGGGGACAGTGCAACTTTTGTGAACATGATCTGTAATTAATATAAAATGGGAAGTGTTGAAAATGGCGCGAGTTGCATTTTCGTCCCCTTTTGCTGTTTCAGGGCACTGTCAACATCAAGAGTGTGAAAAGAACGGAAATTGAGACTGCCGGCTTTGTTGCCAGCACCAGCCTCCCGCAGCAGTCGGGCTACCGCAACATGCCCATTTGGATTTAAGGATGTTAACCCTTGCCTCAATCAGCAAGCGCACAACTTCCGCATGGCCATTTTCAGCTGCGACGTATAACGGTGTTTCTCCAGCGGCATCCGTTCTTGATTTGTTCATGTCAGCCCCGGCCTTAATCAACAAGCAGACAACTTGGACGTGGCCTCCCTGAGCTGCGATGAACAACGGTGCTGTTCCATAGTTCGCGGTAGCTCTATTGATTTGAGTTCCAGCTTTAATCAGCAAGCTTGCAACTTTGTCATGGCCACCTTGAGCTGCAATGTACAAGGGTATTGCTTCAAAATCGTCTGTTGTGGCCGTGTTGATCTCAGCACCGGCCTTAATCAGCAAGCGAACCACCTCAACATGGCCCTTCTCAGCTGCTTTGAACAAGGGTGTGGTTCCGTTGTCGTTCCTGGCCTTGTTGCTGTTTGCCCTGGTATTGATCAACAAGCGCACAATTTCGACATGGTTCCTTCTTGAGCCGCGAGGTATAATGATGTTCTCCCACTGTCAGTTGTAGTTTTGTTGATGTCAGCTCCACCTTCAATCAGCAAGCAAGCTACTTCCAAATGTCCCCGAAGAGATGCACGGTGCAACGGGGCTATACCACAGTCAAGTGTGGCCATGTCCGTATCAACCCCAGCTTGAATCAACAAATCAACGCAGTCCACATGGCCTTCCGAAGCTGCTAAAAGCAATGGCGTAGACCCTTGAGGACTTGTGTCGCGCAAATCCGTCTCCGCAGCTGCCTCAAGCAACAGGCGCATAGGTGCCATATGTCTGGCTCTAGCTGCCTGCAGCGGAGTTCCGCCATCAGTGTGCATCACATTGGGGTTGCGAGGGCATTGAAGCAACTTTTCCAATGCCATCTGTCATCATTGTCTCGGGATGCATCTGTCATCATCTGTCAGCATTCGGTCTTCAATGTCAGGTGGGCACCACTCCAGCACCAGCCGGACCTTTGGGGTTCGGACCACCAGCCGGACCCGTCTTCCGACAGAAACCTCTGCTGAAATCTGGCGCCAATCTGAGCCACAAGAAGTTCTTTCACTTCCTTGGCATTGGCAGTTTTGCCTTCAAAATCATCCACAACCGTCAGCAGCTCACCTGACAATGCCGAGTACACAGAGAGCATTGCGGCTGCGCGCAAAGAAGGTCCCAGGAGAATCCGGACTTACCTATCTATTTTTGAGATTTTTTGAGCGCAAAAAACGAGCAAGTGCTGAGGGTGGAACATCTCATAGCAACCAAAGAAAACCACAATAGTTGCTGAGGGGACAGCATGCTGACCGAACAATGTCGCAAAGTGAGGGGCCCAACCCTTCGAACCGGTTTCCTCTTTAACGGCTGATGTTCGTGCAACTTCCACAACCTAATCCGGAGCACACAGGTGATACGCAGGCACGGCCGGCGGACAGATGCCCATTAAAGCATGAAAGTGAATGCTGTGTTTAGCAGAGCATTTAGCTGCTATAAAACTCAGTTTTTAAAAAAAACACACAAAACAATGTTTCCCAGCTTAGATTTCCCAGTATTATACATATTATGTATCCCACATGGAGGTTTCCTGAAATAGGGGTACCCCATTTCGGGTACCCCCATTTATGGAAACCCCCACATGGAACGATCATCACTGATCTCCTTGCTGGGCGTCTCGTTGACCTCAAACTTCTCCAACTTCCCCAGGCGCGCAAAATGCGCCACGATGGGTGGCAGGCGGCTCTGCAGGTCGCTGAACTTCTTCGAGGCTGTTGCGCTTTCCTGGGTCCAAGGCGGTGACTGGTAGGCCTGGGGTATACTGGGTATAATATTATATATATATATATATTTATTTATTTATTTAGTTATTTATTTATTTATTTATGTATTTATTTATTTATTTATAATATCGTATAATAATATATACATATATTATATATATATTATATATATATTATAGGGATAGTAATGGATAGTATGGGTATAATATGGTATACTTGATGGATTTTGATGTTCCTGGATGCTACATAAGATGATTTAAGATGCTATAGCAGGTGGTTAAAAATTGTAAGTCATTGAGGTAAGCTGAAGCACTTACCTATATTTATCCAGATTTATGAAGGGGCAGCGGCCATTTACAACCCAAGGGTCTGGTGAACCTACCAAGGAATGCCGGAACATCATCTCCTTTGCCACTGCCGTCCCCTTCCAAAGGACAGAAGGCTTCACAATCATCAGTCTGATGTTGGAAACAAATACTTTCCGGGAAACAAACATAGGTAATGTTAAAAATCCTATGTTCCGCAAAAAAAGGTGAAAGTAGATCATTTTCCTTGCGTTTCATGTTTAAAAAAAAAGGTGATTCTCCAGCCAGCCGTGTCCAAGTGACACCCTTCTTGCCATACTCTTCGGCCCACAGGGTCTCGGCCTGCTCGCTGCCGTGGATGTAATACACCTTCTCGATGCGGAACTCGTTCTCGATGATTTCAATCTGATCCACATACCTGCAGCTGACCCCGGTTACCGCCATTCCAGCCAGGCCAGTGGGGATAGGGCAGTGATTGAACCTGGATCCTGGATGTTCCCTTGATGCAATGCTTGACTGACCAATGGAGTTCCATAGTTGGCTCGCGGGCTCGCGGGTTGTTTTAGAGATGGGGGACACCCAGATATGGACACCCAGATAGCCCCAAAAATGGATATATAAACATGGCAGTTCCAACCTCGATCATTCCCATAAAACCATGCTGGCACATGGGGTGGCACCCTATAGATATATCATATATCATGATATATCAACATTAATCCATATATTTTCTGTATATCCATTGATATACCATCCATCAGCATCAGCTCCATTCCAAGCTGCTGAGGGCAATTCTGGATCACCAACTTCTCGGAACAGGTCAGGTTGGCCACTCCCTTGAGGAGCTCCAAAGTCATGGAGAACGGCACCACCTGACCCTTCGCCAACATGTTGTGCATGGCCAGGCCCATCTCAGTACGTCGTTCCAGCTCCTGGTGACGTGGTGACGGTTGGGGATTCTGAGTAGTTTAGTCTTCAGGAGTTCTGGAAATTGAACAGTTGGCGATGGAAAATGGATGAACACGGCCCATTTAGTTCGATGATTGACCTATCAAGAATGGTGATGTGCCATAGCTATGGCACAAGTTATCAGAGGGTATATAACCTATATATATATAATATACACCCCGTGAATTTGACACGTCAGTGAATGTACTTCAATCTTTACACAACTAGAGGGTGCACATTCTAGCATACACTAAATATGTTGATGATCGACGAGATCGATCAAGAGTTGATTGAAGCCAAAAATTGCAACATCCAAAAATGGGAGGGTTCTTCCTGAGTGGCCAATGAGTTTCGAGGATGGGTTGGAATCATCAATCAATGCACTAACAATTGCTGTACCCTTTTGTTCAACTTGTAAGTTTGATGGCTACATTCCCACTTATCTTGGTTATCTACTAATCTTAATATCAATCACCCATGGGAATGTAGTCAACCAACATATGAAACCTATAAACCATAGAATGATGTTTACATGCTCCTGGCTGGTTTGTGGTTTGACTCGTTGTTTTCTCTTCTACGACAGGCGAGTGGGATGATCGCCGTCAGAAAGGTAGGCTGATGGATTTCCAGATGGCAGTGCTGCTGATGGAACTCTGGTATCACGAAACTATGGGAGGTGTCTCTGCCAATTGATGGTGGCAAGACTTCGCCCCCCCCCCAATTTTCTGGCAAAACCACGGTACATGCTTGCACATTGAAGCAACGAAACCACCTAAGCAAAACAAATTCTAGGACATTGAATGGATGCAAAATACCGACCATATCCACAGAACATCCCAGAATAGCCCCAATTATATTGGTTATCATATTATATGATTATATATATATAATTATCTAATTACTATATGTAATCATATTATATATGTTAGAATTATATGCGCATAAATTGTATAAACATATATATATATACGTAATTATACGTATACATATAAGCTATACGTCCCCGGTTAGGTTGCTTAAACCTACTGTAAACCTTCTCATCTTCCCCCACTATATCCCAGTTATATATATATACCATCTGGTTATTTAACATAGCCATGGAAAGATCCACCATTTTTAATAGGTAAACCATCTATAAATGGGCCATCTATACCATGGCTATGTTAAATAACCAGAGGGTGTATATATATATATAGTACCTAGTGAACCCCAAAATAGCTGGGTTAAAATGGATGTTCATTCCCCTAAAAATGCTATTTTCATAGGTATTGATCCATACCCAATATATCACTCCCCACATGTAGCGTCAGCCCCATGGAAACTCCAAGCCGTGGTGGCCTTGTCCAGGAGCTCGTTGCAATCCACCGCCTCCGTGTGGGGCGCTTCCCCTAAGACCGACGCCAAGGTGCCGCAGCCGCTGCCAGGGAGACCCAGGATCACCTGGGACGGTGAAGATGGTTGAAATATGGGTATGGGTCAATACCCATTAAAACAATAGCCATTTATAGTGAATACCTATAGAATCCACCCGGGTTATGCCATGTGGGTATGGGTCAATAGTGGATTTACCAATTAAAAATGGTGATTATCCATAGTTATTGTGGGTCAAGACCTATGAAAAGACCATATTTTAGTGGGTTATTCACATCCATTTTAACCCAGCTATTTTGAGGTGAACAGAAGGGGTACAAGGTTTTGACACACTGCCATATAGTTGAAATACAGATGAATTTTGATTCTTGTTGGAGTTTGTTTGGCTTCTTGTTGGACATGTTTGGGTTTTTGTTGGAGTTGTTTGGTTCTTTTTGGAGTGATTGTCATTGATCTCTTGCATTCTTTTTGGAGATTTTATGTCGTGATGGCGAGATCAAAAAAAATCAAAGAAATTGTTGTTGAGTTTTGGAATTGCGTTTTCGTTGTCTCAATGGGGATATGTTTTTCTTATGATATTTGTTTCGCATGGGGTTATTTTTTCTGCTGGTTTTGGGTGAGTCAAGACATGGGTTTCACATGGCTTCACCAAGACCAGAACCACTAAACTAAACACATGTTTTCCCCTCATCATGGGGATTCTGCCAGCAAAATCAGAGTTTCAGAAAGGTGGGCGTTTGGTGGTACCATAGATTACCATAGTGCCCATGGGGAACACATGGTGACCATACCGCCGTAACGAAATAAACTGGGGAGACCATCCGGCCAACTGAAATCAACAATAATCAACTCATTGAATAGTCGATTCACAACCACACGTCCTTCTGAACCATTTTCTTTTTGGATATCCCCCATTACTCCGTGTCACCGTCTGTCACCGTCCCCTTGGAAATATCAATCTCCAACCCCAACAGATCCAGCACCGTGACCACCATCTCCCAGATCGCGGTCTGCCGGTCTAGGCGCTGTCAAAGACGGCAGGACCTTCACAGACAGCTTCTTCCAGGTGTTTTCCACCACAGAACCCATCTGCATCTCCGAAAGTTTGCAAGGAATGCGCTCTGCCTTCAAGGTTTCTAGCATGGAACTGGTCTCCTGGGCGAACAAAAGGACAAAAGAAGTTGAACTTTTGCATATCCACCTGGGTATGTCAAGGATTATTGATTGTTGTATCTGCTAGAGTGCTAGTATATATGTAACTTCAGTCAAACGGTGCAAGCCCGTGAGTTCACAGCAAAATCAGTGAGCCCTGCAATTCCTCGTCATTCGTCTCTCAGAAGAGGGATAGTCTATGTAATTTCACCCTACCAGTACTGCACCACTGTAAAAATCAGCACAATTCGATATGTATGCTCTCATTGTTTGTGGGAAACCAGGGGTTTTCATGGGTTTTCCACATTCATATAAAATCTATCTTAATTCGCTGGAGGGTATAAATTTTAGTTGTCCAATTGTCCACCAGAAATCAAACCTTTGATCCATAAACCATCCACCAGCATTTTCTTGGATACCCAGGTAATTTTTAATCTTTGTAGTGGTCAGCCAGCAACACCAAAAAAGATCGAAAAGATGGACACCTGGAAATAACCGGTAAAACATCATCTATACCATCCATTACCATCCTGGAAATACGGTTCCATCTTTTTGGGACTTGTCACGATTTAGCTTGTCTTTGGGGCCTTGTAGCCATCAATCGTCTATCAACTCTCCGGAATATTGGTCACGTATGGTCAAGTGATAGTCAACCCACAAACAAGTAGCAAGCCATACCCCGCATTCATCAGCCTTCCTAGGCTCACCAAAACATCATCACAACGATCTTCCCCAAGTCCATCAAGCATCAAAGAATTCATCAAACATGTGAAAATCACAACATCCATCAACATCCCCAACCCCAACCCCAACCCCAACCCCATCCCCAACCCCATCCCCATCCCCAACCCCAACCCAACCCCATCCACAACCCCAACCCCAACCCCATCCCCACCCTCCAGTGTCATCCCAAGCATCTGCTCCGAAAAAGCAGTTGCCCTTGAGCTCCGCTTCCAGCGCGGCCTCCCGTCCCTTGGACGCCAGATCCGCGGCATCGGCCTTGGAAAAATCTAAGACCAAGGTCTTGGTGATGCAGCTCACGCGGTACTCCAGGAACTGCGCCTGAAAAAACCAAACGGAAGATGCTAAGATTGCTAAGTATGATGATATATAATAACAACCATCATCAACGTGAGAGCAAGGGCATAACAAAACGTCAGAGCAGGACTTTTGTAACAGGTTGGCCGTTTGATTCACCTGTCCAGCTAGGATAGCCTTTGGCTTCAAAATCTGGACTGGTAAAAGACTGACTCCCCCTACCCAGCTGGTGTGGGCGGGCGGGGAAATGAAAACACCCCAGCCTTGAGCCAAAATGGCCACCAAGGCCGAGGTGAAGCTCCCACCCTCAACTCCCCTCTCACTCAATTGGTTGTTACAAACACAGCAAGCTGTTAAAACCAACAACCATCATCAACGTGAGAGCAAGGGCATAACAAAACGTCAGAGCAGGACTTTTGTAACAGGTTGGCCGTTTGATTCACCTGTCCAGCTAGGATAGCCTTTGGCTTCAAAATCTGGACTGGTAAAAGACTGACTCCTAGATGAGTCAAATGCCAACCCTGTCCCACCTGCGCAGCGCATTACGACTCTGACGACCGCGACCGGGAAGAGGAAGAAGAGCTCCCGTCGCTTTCGTTATTTGCAGGGAGCTTGAAACATTTAGAGCATTTTGCTCCGTTAGGCTCTTCTTTGAGAAGGGCATAGTCGGCTTGGCCACGGGCAAAATGCCAAAAGCACTTTGTACGCCACAGGTAATGTGGCAAAGTGTTTCCGTGGCGTGCCGCCAAGTGTACTTTGCCTCTCGACGAGCGGTTTCTAACAAAAAGTACATCATTCTCCGGTGGATCTGGTGCCGGAGGTTCGATGATTGCTGCCGCCTCGCAGTCAGCCAAGGCTTCAACCGGCTGGTGGGCAAGGCCGGTTGCGGCTGCCGTGGCTTCTTTGGTGGCCGCCAGAATGGCCGATAGCTCCGCCCTTGCTGATGCTAGGGATGCTTTGAGCGAAACTTCTTGGGCCAAACCATGGAGCTGTTCGAGGGGAGCGTCTCTTACATATTGTTTAAATATTTCGGATCCCCAGCGACCAAACAATTGGATTCTCCAAAGTTCGATTTGGGTGCGAGCCATGTGTACGGCTCCCGTGGCCCTAGCTGAGTGGCCTGTGAATAGTCGAAGCCCAGTGGGGCCGACCAATTTCAGCTTCAGCTTTTGGGCAATCGCCTCAAAAGTGCCGGCCCAGCCTGACTTGGTCGTCTGAGCGCCGGTTTCTGTACAGAAGAGGAACGAATGCCTTTTTGTTTTGGCCCATTTCACTTGTTCCACCATGAGATGGTATGGACATAGTGCTGGGCTTCCTTGCTCCGCGCAGGAGCATGAGTGGGTGCGAGTGGCGCCCAACGCGCGCCAGTCTGCTTTACTGGACGGCAAATTCCATTTTATTAACTTTTCTCTAGGATCCACTTGCACGTGCGCTAGCAGCATGTTGCTGGCTTCAATTTCCCTCAACAACCACCAGGACGCAAGCACCGTTGACCGGACGGCCCATTCCGGGCCCCCTGGCGCAAGCGGGTTGCTTACGTCGGTGAGAGTGGAAACATCGGCCAAGGGCAAGGGTTGAGCTTGCTTCGCTGGCCCTCTGCCCCGCTGGCACGCACGCTTGGCGCATTTAGCCGCTAGCGCTAGCTGTGCCGTCCAGGGTTGCCCTTTTTCGATGTGCCTTTGCTTCGCGACTTCGAGGTACAGTTCGGCTGACCTGTACCCTGCTTTGTCCAGGGCCCCCATGACAGAATATATCAGGTCGGGGACGAGATCAAAAGCGCGATCGTACCCGGCTGCCTTTGCTACGGATTCCCAGGTGCGCTCCCTAGACAATGTTGGTCCATGGGAGTTAGCCGCACGGGCCCGCTTGGCAATGTGCTCCATGCACTCCCGGGGTCCGGAGCTGGCTGCCTGAACAGCTAGCTCCAGGGATCCCCTGCCATATGGTTTAACTTGGCGGTCCTCGGGATTTCCCGCCTTGTTGTCAATACCATCGGCAACGGGGGCACGAGACGAAATGACTGGCCCTTCTGCCAAGGGCCTGAACCCTTTAGGCTTCTTGGGCTCGTCGTGAGCAGTAGCTGGCCTTTGCCAGTATGTGGGCCCTACGGACCTTTTCATGCTTAAAATGCTGCGGAGAAAAACTAACCGATCGGACAACCCTCCTACACCTAGTAAAACAATCACACCCACAAGCCTACCCCCATCCCGTCCTCAGGTAACCCGCCGCACTTTTTCCGCGTCCGAGTTCACGGATTTGCCAAAAGTCGGGACCTACCTCGATGGGAATCCGTTTGGCTTCCCCGAGGCGATCTTGAGGAAAAGGAGGCGGCACTGGGTCGTGTTGCCTGCTCAACGGGTCGGCTGTGATGTTGAGCTTGGTGTTGATGTGCTGGAGTATAGTGACCTCATATCTCTCCTTGGCCTGGTCGAGTGCTATTTCCCTGGCAACCACCTGCAGTTCGGGTGATTTGGCCTTACCCTTCGCGAGTAGGTAAAGGGCCGATATGTTGTCCGCTTTTACACGGACCACTGAGCCAATGGGGAACCGCACTAACCAGATGCGGGCCGCCAAGAGAAGGCAGAGAGCCTCCCAGAGTGCCATGTGTTTTGGTATTCCGGGAATGGCTCCTGTCTTCACTGTGAACTGAAAGGTCATGGGGCAGCTGAAATACTCGATGGCCGCCCCTCCCATGAGTAGCACTCCGCCCATGCCCCAAGTCGAGGCATCGGTTATGATTATGGCACCTGAGTTAGGTTTGACTGACCTCACCACTCGAGTGAACGGTACAGTCGATTCTTCCAATAGCGCGAGGATCCATTCCATGGAGTGGGCAATCCGTTTGGTGTGAACGAGCTTTCTGGCCCTGGAGGGGCCATCATCAGTCGCTAACACCGCCCAGATGCCCCCCAGGAACGGGCGCATCAATGGGACGACGCTTGCGAAGAATGACAGTGCACCGGCTAGCGATTGCAATTGCTTCTTGCCCACTACCGGTCTCGCCATAATTTTCGTGATGCGTTCCACAACCTCCGAGACCTTGTCGGCTGGAATGGTTATGGAAATCGCCCTGTCCTCCTGTAATATGCGCATTTCTGCGCCGATCCATTTCACTGAATGACCTGACTCTGTCTTCTCCATTTTGATTGGGAAACCCGCCACGGCCGCCCAGAGGATGCTGACCGTGATTTGTTTGTCCCCCTTCGGGTCGCTGGAGTCGAAGACCATGATGGGGTCGTCGACATAGATCTGGCAGGCCACTGCCGGGTTGACGGCCGCCAAAGTTCTGCCCAGCCACGAGGCGAAGCGTCCCCAGAGAGTCGGTGACGAGACTGCTCCGAAAACGAGCACGTCATACACCAGTACTTTCTGTTGGCCGTTCACTTCAATGGCAGCTGCCGTGAACGCTTTGTCCTCCCCTGCCGGAACATTGTGGAACGCGTTCTCGATGTCTATCGCGAAGAATACTGGTGTGCCCCCGGCTCTGAGGATAGCGACTGCATCTGCCGCTGCGTCGGTTAGCCTGGGCAGTATGATTCTCTCGCCCTGAGAGCATAGTCCATTTACCCCTGATTCACGTAGGTCCCAAATGAGTCGGGCCTTTCTCTTGTCACCCTTCACTTTCACGATAAGGCCAAGCTTGTTGAGTACCGGCCAACGGCCGAGGTACGTTGCGGCCTCCTCCATGGTGTCGAACAGGGAGATGAAGCCTTTTGCTTGAGCCTCTGCAACTAGCCTGGCGAGGTCTTCCTGCCATTCGTCAGCTGATGGGTGATTCTTCCATCCCTCGTATTGCCTGGCCAGCTGATTCGCCGCTTCCTCTTCCCAATGTGGTCCTGTGACCCTGGGAAATACCCCTGTGCAGGGTATCGGTTGTGAATAGCCCAGAGGGGCTCCTTCTCTCATCCAGGTGGCCAGCAGCTTGGCGTCGGGGTCCTCTGTGAATTCACCCCAGGCCCAAAGCACCTCCGCCGAGATAGGCGTTGACGCCCTCGTGCTCTTCTGGGGTAGTTGGACGCCGGCCGGAGCCAGCAAGCCCACCACCAGCTCTCTGAGTTTGTCGACGAACGCTTTGTCGAGGGGCACGGTTTTCTGCCCCCCCAGAAGTGCCTTTGTGATGCGCACTGCTTCTGGATGGGTGGCTGCGTTCAGGAGGAGCTCATTTATGGCTTCGCCTGCAATCAAGGATCTGGGGAGTTTGGCTGCTGCAGCACGAGGGTTTCTCATACCCCCAAGCGCTGCCTCATTTTCCAGTTCCTTGTCTGTCCGCCTTGCGTCTTCCAGATGCGGCCCGGTTGGACCTTCAGCGCCCCCCTTTCAGGGGAGCTCCTCAGCTTTCATTTCTCTGAGCCGTTTGGCCCTAGGCTGGTCTGCACCCATCATGGCCCCTGCGATTATTTTGCAGAGCCTCGGTGGGTATGCTCCCAATGCCTTGGATGCCCTTTCTTTGTTGCCTCCCTCGTTGGTGCGCCACCTCTGCACAAGGCTTTCGTGCTTGGCCTTGTACTCTGAGCCGTCAGGCTTGGTCCAGGTGCGGTTTTGATGTGTGCACCTGATGCCTCTCAACTCGGTGAGGTCCATGTCGAAGTGTGCCAGCTTGGTCGGTTTGGTGACCTCTGCATCGAACATACATTGGTCGAAGGCCGCCTTGAGCACCAGTGCGTGCTTCTCGATGCCGATGCCCCACTTCGTTTTCCAGAAGTCAAGTTTGGATCCATGGTCAGGATTCTCCAGCCAGAACGACCGATGAGCCCTGAGCTGATACTTGACCGCCTCCGCGGACAGCTCGAACATCTGATTTGCTTGAGCGAGCTGCTGTTGCTCGGCCTTTGAGAGCTTCTTACGGCCGAGGCCCTCAGGATGAGCCAGGTCCCTCAATGGCTTGGGGCCTGGGGGATTCTCCCTGAGGGGTGACAGCGTCTCGCAAGGCGTGGCAATACCCACGCAGTCGAATACACCATCCTGAACTTCTTTCAGAATGAGCCTGTAATTGTCGGAGTCCAGAACATCGCATGTGGTGGGGCCCACAATGTCGACGACCACCACTATCCATCCTCCTGCTGCAAGATAGCTGGCGATGTCGCCTTCCCTGGACTTGCTGCTGAACAGCAGCAGTGCCCTGGGCCTGTGGTCCCACTGTTCTGGCGGGACGTTTGTCGCCCCGTACCGGTACGGGTGCCAGCTTGGCGGCTTGGGCAGCTGGCTTGGCCCCTGCCGATGCGGTGCGGCCTGCACTGGCCTTCGCTTTCTTTGCAGTGGTGACCTGGACGGTCTCTGGTTTCTTGGAACCAGCTTCACCCCTGAAGAGGATGCCGCAGCCCTCTCCTCGGGGCTTTCTTCTTTGCGCCCTTTCTTTTCGGGCGGTGCGCTGGGATCCGACTCAGGCTGTTTCTTGCGCTTGGAGCGCTTTGCACCTGATGCAGCGTCACCGGCAAGGGTAGGAGGTGCTGCCTCACCCTCGCCTGTTTGGCGCTGTCAGTCTTTCTTGCAATGGCTTGCCTGATGGGGACCCAGGCAAAGGTTGCATTGGTGACTGCGCCCGTTGGGGCATCTTGACTGTGGCTTGCCATTGCCGCACTGCCCCTTGTTGAACTTGATGCAAATCTGAAGGCCCTTGCGGTTGAGGGAGAAGACCTTGTTGTTGTCGTCCCACTTGCTCTTGTCTTCCCCCGTGTACTTCTTCTTTGCCTTCTTTTTCTTGAGCTTCGGGCTCGAGGACTTCTTCCTCTTCGGCGATGGCCGATCTGGGGCCGACTCAATCGAGGAGTCCGAGCTCAGCCCACAGGCTATGGACTTGTTGCGGGCCAAGAGCAGTGTGCTTGGGGTCACCACTTCCCTTGTCCAGAAATCTTGCTCCCGGACCGCTTCCGCGAAGATGGCAGCCCAAGGGTTGGCGGGTGTATACCCATGCCGTGGGTCATCGTCCAGCGAGCGCCGGATTCTCTCCATGTACTCGGACCGCATGCGGGTGTCTGCACGGTATATGATCCCCCAGCATGCTGGCCCGAAGCGATTGTGGAACTCCTTGACGTGTTCCATGTAGGCCTCGAGCCTCTCGGGGTCCGCAGCCTCCAAGAGCACCATCGCCACCTTGTATGTTTTAAAACACTTTTCCCAGGCGACGATGCTCTCTGGGCCAGGGGCTTCTTTCTTGCTCCATTCCCCTGATGCCGCATTCAACACGTAGCTCTTGAACACCGCTTTACGCAGCGTTCTGAGCCCATGTGGCCCCCACAGTGACATGTCCACGTATGGCGTGGCGTTCGCCTTCAACAGTTGTGCCAAAGCCGACAATTGGTCGATGCTCGGCTCAACCTCCGGCGATGGGTGATCACCGAACCTGCTTTTGTACTTGGCGTACATTGCACTGACAGCGGTCTGTTCCAACTGGACCACCTCTGAGTCCAGAGTTGGGTCAATGACCACTGACAGTTTGATCTTCCTCGTTGGGGAACCTTGTGAACTGGACAGGGGCTGTGCCGGAGTTGTAGCAACCCCAGGGCGTTGTATACCCGGATCCCCCGGTGTGTCGGGCGTCATCTGCATCCGGAGCATCACCACCCGTCGAAAGATTTCCAGCCTCGAGCCCTCCACTGGTGTGGGTTCACGTTGACCTGGTGGGTCGCCTGGATTGGCTGGTGCTGTCGGTACCCTCAGGAGGACAAGTGCTGCGTCCCACACCGGGCGTGTGATGAATGCAATGTCCCTGAGTTTCGTCGGGGTGCCGAGATCTTTGAGGAGACCCTCTTTCAAAGGGCCCTCAAGACCGGCCCAGTCTGCCACGTCGTCAATGGTCTCCATGTTGTTGAGCTCCTCTTCGGTTGGGTCCATGTTGCAAGGCAGGACCCTCCCTCAAAGGAGTAAGTTCCGAACTCGTAGAGCTCCTTGGTGTTGCGGAACCAGCCAATGTAGCTCTCCTCCTCAGATTGGGTCGGCTCTGCACCGATTGGCGCAAGGAGCTTTCCCTGAGGTTGGAGAAGGCCAAGCTGATCGCTCGTCGACGGCGCACAAAGCGCAAAGCCCGGGATGTAAGCAGTTCCCAAGGGCCCACAACGCGAAAGGTTGCGGCTCGGGTGTTTCCGATCCCAAACCGGGCCCAAAAGGCACGGAGGAACCAGCCACACAGGACCCCCAGCCCGTAAGTGCTAACCAGCACCCACAGGAGGAGGTCCACACCCGGATCCTCGGTCGGTTGACCGAAGGGACCAGGTGCTGCGTCGCTGCCTTCCCCACCTAGCCCTGGGCCCATTGAAATGAAAACACCCCAGCCTTGAGCCAAAATGGCCACCAAGGCCGAGGTGAAGCTCCCACCCTCAACTCCCCTCTCACTCAATTGGTTGTTACAAACACAGCAAGCTGTTAAAACCGACATATATATTGCGTATATGTATATAAATGTATACATACATACATATATATATGTGTGTGTGAGATATGTTTTTAATTTTACAGTGTATGTATGTGTGTATATATGTAATGTAATGTCATGTCATGTCGTGTCATGTCGTGTCACGTTGTGTCACGTTGTGTAATGTAATGTATTGTGATGTATTGCAATGTATTGTATTGTAATGTATATAATGTAATGTAGATAATGTAATGTAATGTAGGTATGTAGGTATGTAATGATTGTACCTAGGGCCTAGGGAGTGCTTCAACTCTAAACTGACCCAGTGAGAGCATCTGGCGCCTGCTTCAGGCTCTGTGGGAAGTCTGACAGGACGAAGTTCTGCACTCCCAAAGCCATGTCACGATAGATCTCCGACAAAATCAACGGGCAGGCAATGGAGGCATCGACCTCGGTTCCCCAGTAGCTGGTAGGTCTGCTGTGAAAAACGCTTGGGAAAACCCTGCAAAAATGGGGATGGGGGCCAACTTTGGCCGAATTGGTTGGCAAAGATGGAGGGGCAGGGGCCCGGATATTATGGATGTATGTGACGGTCTTTGGCCCAATGCTTCCCAGAATTGGGAAACTGTTAAGCCTTAAACATTTGCATGATTGTATGTAGCATGGTTATAGATATATATAGTATTTAAAGGAATTAAAGGTCAATTCCTGTAAATGTTGGTCAACCCACTGCATGTTGCTTGGATCAGCTGGATGCTGGCGAGCTGCCGGCTTTCCCGCGGCCAGGGACTTCCTCACGGCAGGCGCATCGGGTTCGTTGGAATTGGCATAGCTCCTGGTCGCCATAGGACTTGCTGATTTTCAGAGGATGACCTTGCCATACCCGCGTAGTGAAAGAAGGGGGTAGTCACGATCGCTATTGCACATGACATGACGATGCTTCTCATTTACCTGACTATCAAGGTGCATGGTGCAATCCTAAGTGTTTGTTCCTAAATTAGAGAACCTTGCATGCCGCCGCAAGAGCGTGACGCTTTACTGCCAAAGGAACATGAAATCATACCCCATCTAAGCATAGAATATCTATCATGAATCCTAGTGGTTGTAGCTATGAAAAAAGCTTAGCCAACTATGCGGCATCACCATAGTCATCCCCAAGGGGCCCAGCAGCATGTCCTGAGTAAGGTGGTGAGATTGATGGCGGAATAGCCATACTGCTTCTCCAAGGTGCCAGCCATCTGTTCCACTGGAGCACCTGGTGGGCCCAACAAATAGAGGAAGCGGCAGCTGAAGAAGCGCTTGCACTCCTCATAGACTTCATCCGGGCTCTTCCTTCGGGAGTTTTTTCTGCCCGAGTGAATGATGGTGAATGCAAGTTGCATGTTGTTTGGGGATGTTTCGGGTCACTTCGCAGTGTCCGCTGTCATTATAATATATATATACATACAGTAGATTCCTTCCACCACATCCCAGGAAAAAAGACGCGCCAAACCCTAACTAACCATACCCAACCAACCTTTACATCACCCAAGCGTCTCCGCGTTGGCCCTGCGGAGCTTTCCAATGGGTCCATAGTAATTCACCAAGGGAATGGTTTGACCGTGGAAAACATCCAGGCGTTTCTTCACCGTTTCGTCGTTGTCGTCCACCCGGCCCGGCTGGCTGATGGCCCGGCCCTGGATGCGTTGCTTCATGGTGTCGTCACTGGCCTCCAAGTAGAGAAGGAAGGACACCTGGAGGTGCAGCTGGGCGTTGTAATCCCTTCCCCAGTGGTCAATTATAGTTAATTATAGTGAATGTTAGTGAATGTTAGTGAATGTTAGTGATGGTTTTTGTCCATTAATCACTTATGAAGTCATAGCTAATTACCCTACTATGGCCCCATTGGGCCCCCCAAATGGGACAAAATATGAAATAGATACAAAGCCAGGGTTTCTCAGGGGACATCTTAGCTGGAAGGGATTAAGAACCGTCCCGTTTTAGGAGTACCTACGTTGGAGGGTCACATGAGCAGCTTATTAGTGTGCACATAAGTTGAATGCCTCCACCACATAGCAATGGTGGATGGGAAGGCTTACAGTGAATAGGAACCAGTACAAGAACCATTGAATACGCACCAGTGGTCACACATGATCATTACTGGAAGCCTAAAACTGCACTTGTGTAGGTCATCGCCTACCTTTTGAACATATCTTAAGACGATGCTCCCAAGGTTTTCATCATGTTTTCTTCTAAGGTTTTTCCCATGAATTGTCCATCGTCATCGGGAGGAAACCCAGAGATTGGGAGATTCCCAGAGATTCTCCGGGGGGGTTCCACCATCTCAGCCTCAGCAATATCCCGCTCGAAGCATTGAGCTTGCTCCACGGAGCGGGGGAAGCCATCCAGTAGGAAGCGATTGGTGTCCTGGTGCTTCACCATGGCCTTCTTGAGGAGCTTTAAGACGATCTCATCTGGGACTAAGCCTTGAAACGTCACGGTGAAATATGTGAAATGGAATGTTGAGTTTTAAAAAAAAAAGTTAGGGTGGCCAATCATGGCCAACGAACTAAAGGCCAAAATATCATGAAGATATGCCAAAACAATATCCCAAATCCTTAAAAAAACAAAACAAAAGAAAAACTGCTCACATTTTGTTGGCCCAAAAACTTCCATTTGCCATATGTTTCTCAATCTCACTCCCCAAGAACGATGAATTCGCCACCTCGGCCCTCATCAAATCCCCGGTGCTCAGGTGGATCAAGTTGAATTCCTCCCTGAGCTTGGCACATTGGGTGCCCTTGCCACAGCCCGGTCCCCCGGCCACGAAGACCACGAAGGGCGGCGTGGTCAGATCGCCTTCGGCCTCGGCCTTCAGCTGCTGGAGCTCTCGGTCGCTGATTTCCACCACGGCCTTGGACGGCTCCGAGGTCGGTGCGGCTTCCACCACGAAGGGCAAGCCGTCCTGACCGGGATAGGGAAAGATGATGGGCATGGAAAATGACCATTTGAGCGTTGAGAAATGGATACGTTATGTGATATCTTGGGAAACAGCTGCCAAAATAAGAATATCAGCATATCTATCTATATCTATCTATATCTATATCTATCTATCTATCTATCTATCTATCTATCCTAATCTAATCTAATCTAATCTAATCTAATCTATCTATCTATCATGTATGTATATATATATGTATATATATATACATATCTGAAATGTGCAAATCCAACATGCCAGTATTATGTACATCGGCTGCGGCTCAGGAAGAGGCTGCTAGCACCACTGCTCGGAGGTGTTCAAATATGCGGCAGCATCCGGGAAAAAAAAACTCCCCACAACAAATTTTTCTCAAACCACATGATTTGTTGGATTTGCCTTTACAGATGCGAAACCAGAGCCGCCCAACCGGCTCAACTGTCCTGATTGACACCGTACTCCACGAACTGCTTGGATCTGGAGGGCGGGTCGAACATTGCGGAGGCCTGGCTCAAAGTCACGGGTCCCTCAACATGACCTCGAAATGCTCGTTTGACCACCACTGTCATCAACAAGCTTGAGCCACTTTCACTCAGTTTCATCACATCTCATCCATCCATCCATCCATCCGTCCGTCCATCCGTCCGTCCATCCATCCATCCATCCCTGGTATTTCCACCTACTGCCCCTTCTGCAGGACGAGCCACGCTGAGGTTATTGGGATTGTTCTCCTCCAACCAATTCGCCAGCCACTTGACGGCATCCAAGCCCTGCGGCTTCACCTTGCCTCACAACGCCATGATTTCAGGGCTGGCACAAGCATGGTTGGTCCATGGCCAGAAGCGGATACCCTATATAGATATATAGATATATATATATAGACCTGCTCTCTCTCTATATTTATGTTTATTTATTTATTTTATCTATTCATTTATTTATATAGTTATTTCTGTGTGCGATTATATATGTATAGGAAAAAAAACGAATGCTCCGCATCTCCCATGAAATGAAAGGAAATGCTACTAACTGAACCAATCATGAATCGTTTTCTGCGTTCTACTGAAACATCCTGGAACAGTTCATCAATCATGATGGTCACCCCCTTGGCCCGCAGCCTCCACCCTTAAAAAAAAAACCTTTGGTGCCAAGAGGCATAGGCCGATGAGACTGTTGGACACCAGCTGTTGGAAGGTAGGATCCACTGTAAAGTCCGTTGTCTGCGCATCTGACAGCGTCGACAAATCCATGGAGGCTCTGGCGGATTTGCCTGGGACGCCAGAGATGGAAGATGGAAGATGCTGGGAACATCCTTGGGATGATCTTGGCGTGACATGCTACCGGCTATGATCCTTGATCCACCCGAATTCTCCGAAGCGACGTTGTATAATCACCCCATTCTCCAAACCAAAAAGCGGCGTTTTATTCACCCACATGGCCCATCATGGCCCTCCCTTGCCCTTTGAAAACCCCTTCGCCCCGGCAAGGTGCGGAAGAGGAAATCGCGGACTTCATGGTCGTCCGGCAGGGGATCCACTCCCATGTCCGGGAAGAAGAGCTTGATCTCCTGCACTGCCGCCTGGCCGAAGGACCGAGAAGAGGGTGACCCCAGTCTTCAAAGCGTTAAAAGGGGGTGCCCTGGATTGCTGGCATGGCTGGGATATACATTTGCATCTTGAGAGAGAGAGAGAGATATATATATATATATATTATATATATATATATACATATGCACGTGTTATCACGTGTTTGTGTGTGTGCTTGCACATGTAGCATTTCGCTCCGAAACTCTACCACTTCGAGGATGAAAGAGGCGTCAATCATCCTGAACTTCTGGCAGAAGAAACGCTTCACCAGGACTTGGTGGACTTACTGTGCTTTCCTGCTTTGTCGAATATACCTACTTGTCGGGCTGATTATATTACGATGCACCAATCTTCCAGCATCTTCCAGCATTTATATCTTATCAAACATAACATATCCACTTTTAGTTTTTTGGGTGCCTAAATTCTAGTATGAATCATGTTCAGCATTGTTCAACATCTGGTTTCTTATCCTTCCAATTCCATCCCCATCTCCATGGCTACCCTTTGGTGATCAAACATGTCTGTCTAGCTGGAAAATCCTAAATTGAGGTCTTAATGAATCAAACCATGCAGAAAATTGCAGCATATTGCAGGTTTTCCAGACATTACATGACATGTGCCACGTTTGATGAGCTTCATGGGCAGCCCACCATCACCATCTGGCAGTGTGTCAAAACCCCTGGTGAACATCAAAATAGCTGGTAAATGGATGTTAATCCCACTAAAAATGGTATTAATAGGTATTGACCCAACCCCATCTCACACCTTCAAGGTCGCACTGCCATGCAGCGCGTTCCGCTGCCCATCCCTTCCAAAGCGCGCGCGCAGCGAGCCGGGCCGCTGCTGTCGCGCCAGGTGCACCGAGGGATCGCCCATGAGTTGCTGCAGCACGGTGACAGCTTCCAGGCGACACAGCACCATGGCGCAGCAGGGGCCACTGGCTGCTTCCTTCACCTGGGCCAGCCATGAAAGCAGCCATGAAAGCAGCCATGAAACGCCAAAAAAATATGGGATTTGAAGGGATGAAATATATGAATTGTATGAAAAGATTATGATGTGTTGATTTATGTTGATTTCCAAGTTGGAACCAGTTTGAATGGAGATTGGTTGAGTAGGAAAAAATGAAAAATGGTTGGGGAGGGATGGGGGTTCTTATTCTGCGATAATGCGAGCTGGACAAAAGGTTTGAGGAGAAGTGGACGGATTGCTTCAAGTTAAATGGAGGGTGTTCCATTTGAGGGGGCTGAAAGTGATTGGTTTCCTTCAGGGGAAGATTCGGATGTGCAAGCTATGAAGGGGCTGAAGGGGATGGGAGTTGAAGAAACAACAAACCACACATGTTTGTTTACCTAGGACCTAGCTTACCTGTATGTAGATAATTTCAAGGAGGTTCATGTGCATTTCACCTCACACGGATTCTGGGATGGGTCTAGGACAAAAGACTTGATTTGGTTTTGTCTCAAAATATCATACCCCAAACCCCAATGGATGTTTGTTATTTTCTCACTTAAGGTTGCTTGCCCGATTTTCAGATACCTCCGGGAATATTATTTTTTTTGGTTGGTAGGTTATTGTAAGTTATGGTCATCCCCAAAAAAGATAGAAAAGTAGGTCCCCATTAAAAACAGTGAAGATTCACTATCATTCCCCCCCAAAAAAAAAGTAAATCCCGATGTTTCTTAAAAAAGTAAAGTAAATCCACCATCATTAGATCATTAGATAGGTAAAATCCACCATTTTCGGCGGGGGATCCATCTATATCCCGGTTCGCCGCCGAGGACGCAACCAAGGCAGGGAAGGAGGGATCATCGGACAAGGTCCTGGTGAAGGGGACTTCGCCAGGAAATATATGGCTATGGATGAATACCTATTAATACCATTTTTAGGGGGATGAACATCCATTTACCAGCTATTTTGATGTTCACCAGGGGTACAAGGTTTTGACACACTGCCATATAAATATAGAGATTCTTGAAGGGGATATATCGGATATACTGATATACTGAGACCCTACCAAACATGGGGATTTTTGTTTAATGATTTAGATGGATCTAGGACGTATATGCATATATGAAATATCAATTGGGGGTATCATAAAGGGATATACAGGGCTCATTACCTAGTGATAGTAGTGATAACTGGGATATATCTGGGATATATATAACTTATATAACTAAAGATGACTAATCAAATCAACGAATGATTCATTGACGATGGGCTTGATATGCTGATTACCCTCTGGCAATCTATATAACAGCTTGCCATGGAAAATGACCATGGAAACCATTGGTAAATCATCGAACTAGATGGCTAATTTCCATGGCGATGGTAAATTACCAAAGGGTATTCCGGACAAGTTTTGAATATCCCCATTAGTTGGTAGTCTGTTTCAATCAATAGTATTGGTTGCAGAGGTAGCTGAATTGTGCTTCTGTATTCTAATAATTCTAATATGATCAAAAATTAGTGGTTCTTGTTATTGTTGCTAGTCACGGCGGTCACGGTCCAATTATGTCCAATTCACTGATGGTTGGTGCATTCATGTCTTATTCTTGTGAAGTTGCCAGTTTGTGAATATTGCCAATACCCCCAGGGTGCTGATAAATTTCCACCGTTGATGCCACCAGCTGGAACCAGGCTTTCAGTGGTTTGTCCACGTGTCTGAAAATGGTGCACCCAAAATCTGTTCTCCGTATATCAATTGCCTTAACATTCTAGACCCCATTGACAGAACCCATTTCCCGTAGCAATTGGTTAAATCCCCATGGCAGGCGATTTTTCCATTGACATTCCATCGAAATTCCATGAAAGAATCATCAAAAATCATCAAAATATGCTAATATATGGTTAATATATGGTTAATATATGGCTAATATATATCAAAATAAGAATCCCATTAAGACATATTAAGACCACTTCCCAGGTCAGAAAAAAATCTCCTGTAGAACTCTTTGGCGCGCTCTTCGGTCAAGGTGGTCTGCTTCTCCCGCAGCACAGTGAAGCCTGCGGCCTCCAACTCGGTCTTAATGGCCACCTGCGCCACATCCCATGGGTTGGACCATTACGACTTGGACATTTTATGACAGGGGCCATATGGGGCCATGGGTTTTTTTACACCAAATCGAATCAAAATAATCAAATCGACACATAGAAAAACACTTAGGATTCACTCTAGCTTCTTTGAACTCCTTTGGGACCTCAATTTTTCAAAGGCGGTGCCATCTTTTGATCCCACTGCTGAACCCAAGGGCCCATCAAACCCCCGAGGGCGCACCACGTGGTTGATGGCATCGGGCTTCACTAAACAGAGGGTGCGTTCCAACTTCAAACTGCCAGGGAAGACCGCCTTGATCTCCTCCCGCGGGGTTTGGGCGTTCCGGGAGTGGTTGGGAGTCCTGGGAAACTAAGAGATTAAGCATACAAAAAGGGTGGGGCATGATGTTTGAAAGATGATGTTTCTTTCGGAAAGGTTCCACAAGGGCACCATGGCGCGCAGCACTCCTTGTCTGCGGATTCCATGTCCACTGAGGTATGAATGGCATTGCTGGTGCCATCAGTACCCCACAAGGCGCGGATGGTGGTAGGAGCTCGTTCTCGTGCAACACCGGAGTGCAGAGGTCCAGCAATCAGCCTGAGAGCCGTCTGAAACTTCCCGTGGAAGGATCAAAAAATCAACGAAGAATTGGAAAAGGCATCATTATGTAATAATATGTCTATGTCAAAATTCACACACGCACACACACAGACACACACACATATATATATATATTGTATATATATATACATATAACTTTATCCCCATTGATCGAAAGATAGGAATATATAGGAAAAGAGGTACGGTCGATTTTGAAAAGGCATGGCTCTGAGATATTTTGAGATGCGCTGAGTAACTTTGGGCCCATTTCTTATGCGTAACCAGCCAGGCTGAGGCTCCGCACTGCATCTTTCCAATGGCTCCTCGCCCTTCAAAGCACATGGCAAGACCTGAAAATTCAACGCTTCAAACTTCAAATGGGGAAAAATATGCGGGACCCCATGTGGAAGTTCATAATTATGATTGGATTTGGAGTTGATTAGGGTTGGCTGGTTGGTTCTGACTCATGATGCTTGGCACGTTTTCTAGTGGGTGCCCATGAATGGTTTCCAAATTGAAAGCACCAAATTTACAGCAATGGCTGGCGTCATCTGTCAAGGTAAACCTGCCTCCAAAGAACCGATAGAAGTGGGACTCCCAACAGTGGTTCTCAATACCACCGTTCAGAATATTGGCTCATCATGTTATTTCTCGGCCCACCAAGTTTCTCGGTGCAGCAGGTTGGTCATTTCAGTCATTTCAGTCATTTCTTCTAAACTGCCAATTGTGAGTGTTCAAAGATGTTCGAAGATAACCTGAAACGCCAACAGGACCCAGAGTTCCCTCAGCAAATGATAAGTGGCATCCTTCTTGAGTATAGACCTCAGCGCATCCAAGGCGTGGGAAATGAGGGTCTGACTCAGCAAATGTGTACCTCAAACTGTCTGGGCAATTCAAACTTAAGAACTTAGGATCTTACCTCAAACACTCCTGTCTATCCGTTCTGATGGATAAGTCAAACACTCCTTTCTATCCTTTCTGATGGATAACAACAAATCTTCAGTCTTTGAACACCTGTGGGTTTTTCAGTTGGATGTCCAAAATGGCACCGCGAAATGCTGGTCGAATCGGCTGAGTGATGCTGAGTGCCTGGCGGCGGCTGCAGCGTCATGGTCTGCAGTTCCCTGATACTCCTGCTGACTCTGTGAGGATCTGTTGACTATCAGGATGGCGCTTGCGATTTTCGACAGCCCCTCGAGTTGGAGAGTCACACTATGACCAATGAAAACTGGAAAACTCCATGGCCAATGCCCTGCTACAATGAATCACAATTAGATATATCATTACTCATTACATATCGTTTTAAGATGTTTTAAGGCTGGGCAGTATGTCCTTATTCCCACTTCAACCGTCCTTGGCCAACAACTTTGCCTGTTCGGCATTCAGCTTCAACCGCCTAGGCTGTCACACGCAGTGCGCTGAAAGCGGGTTCCAAGCGATTTCCAAAGCCCTGGGGGCTGTCCCTAAGGCTACCCTCAAAAACCCGTTTGGTATCGTTTGGATACCCCTAAAAGTTCCCCAACATCTCTAGTGTCATCATGTTTCATCCGGCATCCAACTACTATGCAAAGTCAAATGTTGCTACGAGGTGGCTGCAGACCCTGCTCCTGTGGACAGAAAGATTTGCATTGGAATGCGTTCGGGGGTTCATATTCATACCATGTCACTTTTCTATACTGTTCTGGTAAAGGATGGCAATATATATATATACATATATATATACATATATATATATCAATATATCAATATATGGTAGTGGTACCAGTAGTGGTTTGATATGGTTTGATCATCTTTGGCCAAGTTCAGCCACCAGATCCACCAGTCACTTCGATCCTTTTCCCCAAAAATTCCTCCAAGTCTTCGCAGCTGTGGCAGGTCCTGGCTTTTGAGGAGCACTCGGATCCTGCCCTTGTTCTTCTTCAGCACCTCTGCAGGGAGCTTCCATGCCTGCAGGAAATCCAAGGCTGCGGCTTGAAGATCCTTGGGGCTCATCGGGCAACTGAAAAAAGTGGCAAAAAAACAACACATGAAAAAACAGTGTAGATTCCCTAAATTCCAATTGTTTAATGGTGGATTCACATGAATTCACCCGCTAACCTGACAATCCTGACAAATGAAAACCAGCAAATCCAGGGATCCGATTGGTGCCAGAAATATCGCGATTTCCCATAGCCTGTCACAATGATCCCCTGCCAGCTCTGACTGAGGCTCAGCTGATCCGCCACCGCTGTGGACAGCCACCAGCGCAACGCCAGGCGCGCCGCTCCCTCTGAGAGACCGTGAAGGTCGATGTAGCTTGGGACGTCGAAGGATCTGTGCCCGCGGAGCTGGAAGATGTGGCCACCCAACTGGCTGCTGGAGATAGCAGTTGAGTCCAAAATGGCATTGTATGAGGTATTGTCAGGCACCATTTGCACTGTGGTCATCTGCTCAAACAAGCTCAGTGCAGTCTGCCAGTGGTCAGTCCTCTGACAGGCACTGATGGTTGTATTGTAGCTGATGAGGCTTGGTTGAACTTGCCGATGTGGCATTGCCTCAAACAAACTCAATGCCTGCTGCCATTGACCGCCCTTCTCATATGCACTGATGGTGGCATTGTAGCAGTAGACATCTTGGACAATGCCTGCACCGGGCATGCGCTCAAACATGCTTAACGCTTTCTCCCATTGACCACCCTTTTCCAAAGCGCTGATGGTTGCACTGTAGCTATGCACATCTTGCACCACATTCACGTGCGACATCTGATCAAACAGATTCAATGCCAGCTGCCACTGGCCACTCTTCTCACAAGCACTGATTGTCGCACTATAGCTGACAACGGTCCTCTGGATTCTCAAATGTGTCATGGCTTCAAACAAGCTCAATGCCTGCAGCCATTGACCAGCTTTTTCACAAGCACTGATGGTAGCATTGTAGGGATAGACTTCCTGTTTTACTTGTGAGTGAGTCATGCGACTCAGTAAGGACAAAGCAGATTGCCAATGCCCCCCCGGCCCACAAGCATTGATGGTTGAACTGTAAGTTGCTGCATTCGGAGCAACCTTCGCAACCAGCATCGCTTCCCAGAGGCCTAGTGCATGCTGCCATTCACCGCCCTTGGCACATGCATTGATGGTTGCATTGTACGTAACGACATTCGCCACCACCTTTCTGTGGCCCATTGCTTCCAACAAGCTGATTGCATGCCACCACTGGCCACTGTTACAGGCGCTAATGGCGGCACTGTAGCTAAACACGTCAGGTCGAATCTGCACATACGGCAATGCCTCAAATAAGCTCAATGCTAGCTGCCACTGGCCCCCCTTCACACAAGCACTCATGCTCGAATTGTAGGTGTAAATGTCTTGCTTCAATTGCACATGGGACATTTCCTCGAATAAGCTCAATGCGTGTGTCCATTGACCCACCTTTTCGTAGGCACTTATGATCGAATTGTAGCAAATGATATCCCGTTGGATCTTCAAGTGAAGTATCGTCTGAAAGAAATTCACTGCCTCCCTCCACGGGGAACTTCTCTCACAGGCCGAAATCGCTGCACTGCAGCTGATGACGCCGCGATTCACATGCAAATGAGGCATGCGGTTGAAGAGCTGGCAAGCATCTTGCCACAACTGCAACCGTCCAAGAGCTGAGATCCCAATTGTAAAATCCCCTTCCCTGAGTTTCAGATTCTGTGCCACTTCAAAAGCTTCAGAGATCAACTCAGGATGCCGCGCCAAGATCCGCAAGATCTTCTGAAAATTGCTTCGGTTCAGCGGCAAACCCGTCAACCGTTGAAGTTCATCAGCTCCCGGACAGGTGGATTTCCACCGAATCCACCGAAATTGGCAGCGGAGTTTCATGGCTTGGGATGGTTTGGGCCTCGTGCAGCTTGAGCCCTCAAGGCGTCAGCTACCAATGCTGCCATCCGATGGGATGCCCAAGGTTGTAGCTTTGGGCTGTTCAAATAGGATTCTGATTTTTGTTGTGAGAGATGCACAGATACGAAATCAGCATCAGAATCTTATGTCAAACATTAATGATACATTGCAGGTTCTGCTTCAACAATCTAGCGGCTAGCGGCCAGCGCCGAATTGGATCCGGATCAACCTTGGGCATCTCAAAACGAAAAAGCAATGACGCCGTCGCAGGGCTACGCCAGGGCACTGCTTGGCCACCACAAAGAGTCCCAAAGAAGCGGCCTCATCCTGACATGGCACTGAGATCAAAGGCAACTGGTAGGAAAAAGGCACACGTGTTTCCTTTGACCAGGATTTCAAACAAACAAATATAAAATGTATATGCATCTGTATATGTGTATATGTGTATATTATATATATACCTATTATATACACTATATAGTGTATATATATAATATATATGCCACTTGTGTGTGTGTGCGTGCATGCACCAAACTCATCAATCACTTCAGTTCGACCTCTCATTGGAGTATCAACATCTAATGTCATATCACTTCCATTTCACATATATAAATTACAATATAACCATCATATACCCTCTGGTAAACTAACCTAACTATGGAAAATCACCATTTTGAATGTGTAAATCAACTATTTCGACTGGGCCATGTTCAATGGCTTTAACTGTTTACCATCAGATAACCATCATATACCCTCTGGTAATTTAACATAGCTATTGAAAATGGCCATTTATAGTGGAATTTCCCATTAAAAATGGTGATTTTCCATAGTTATGTTAGTTGACCAGAGGGTAACCATCATATAACCAACATATAACCAACAATTCCAACAGCGGCCCTTTCGGTGAATTTCCAACCGGCCTCTAGGACTTGATCAACAGTCTTGCCATCCTTCTGCCCCTGATTGATGGCGTCGGGCTTGATCACCTCGATGGCGCCAGGATGTTTTGCCACGGAGTGACAGTCAGAGGGAGCGAGACAGATTGTGATGTGAAATATAGCTTCACTTATATATAAGATACCATGTTATGTTTGTGAATATACTTTATACTAATATATGTGCGAACATATGTTGCGCACACACGCAGATATTTATTTATTGATTCATCTATTTATGTATTTATTTATTCCATATATATATATATATATCCATATCTGATTCCATATCATGCAGCTTTCCGCCCCTTTCGCCCTTGGCTGCCGCTGCGGAACTGCCAAGGCCCTTTCCACAGGCAGGGCATCGAGGTGGGGGAAGAAGAACTCCATGTCACCTGGGGATTTTTCATTGATTAGTTAGCTATCTATCTATCTATCTATCTATTCATCCATCCATCCATCCACCCATCCATCTATCTATATTGGGAATAACTATATCATGGGTAGAACTATATATAACCAGCCAATGATTTTAGAAGTTTAAAAG